CTCCGAGTCTGCGATGACTAGATCAACTGCATATATCAGACCATGGCACATGTTTGGTCTGAAGTTGAGCATGCCAACCACCGAAATTTCTAGTCTCCCTTGCGTGTCTTCACCACTTCATCCATAAAAGCTACAAATAGCAATGGGGATAAAAATAAACTGCCTCCTGTCGAATACTTTTTTCCATAACAATCATGCTACAGATCTTCCCGTTAAGCCTACCCACTCACTGTAACATGGACTTAATGACCTGCATCAGTTGTGGGGAATCCCTTTCTTCTCTAGTACTTTCCAGACCTCTTGCCTTTGCACTATATCACACCTGGAGATCCAAGAAAATCAGGTATGCAGATTTCTTTCTGCTGATCCGCTTATCAATTATGCAGCGCAGTGGGAAAATGAGATGTTGTGTTTGTCATCCTGGTTTCAAACCCGTCCTTAGGCACCTCTCCGGAATTCTGGAGTATAGCTTTCCAATGACATTAATGAGTTATATTGCCCTGTAGTTTCCACAGCTTGCCGAAACCCCATTATTGTTTATAGGGAAGATTGTTTCTTTGCCAATCTGCGCGTCCGCCCTCCATGCCGTTTGGACGAGTTCTTCTGCCAACACCATGCTTCTGCCTTCACCTCCATCTTTGAATTTCTTCTCATAATAGGATCTCTATACTTCCAGCACTTCTTCCGTTTCCTCTTTCAAGCTGTCTTTTATGCTCCTTACTTTTTTTCCAAATTTTCTCCGCATGGACTTCCAGAATTGTCTACTATCTTGACGGAACTTTCTCTTAGAAGGTTTTCTGCAAACTCTTCCCAAGAGTTTCTTTTGGCCAATTTTACTACTTTCTTACAGTTGATCCTCTTCTGCACGTACTCTTCATACTCTGCTTGCTGTCTTATTCTCTTCCATTGCCTCCATGCTAACTTCAGATCATTTCTTTCTGATTTTATGATTTTAAACTTTGTTAATATTCATTTATTTAGAATTTCTACATTATTTTTTGCCAATATGTGGAAATTAATATCTTAAACAGAAAAATGGAACGTCAATTTTCAATACAAACCTAGTATAAATTTCTGAATAAAACATTTTTGTGTTTCACTCTCTGTTTTATATGTAGACTATAACCTCTTCAATCCAGACGCGGTGTAAACGATGATTACTCAAAAAAGAATTATATCCTATCATCCATTAAAGATTATTTTGTGGTTTTATGGTCATTTTAGATGGTTTTCTACTTATATAGGTTTTCACTTAGAATTTTGTGGACATTAGTTTGATATGTTCAAAAGGTGTTGGATTGATGTGAAAACTTCCTAACACCACACTGGTGCTACCGTACTGGTTTTGAAACTCATAATTTTTATATGTAAAATAGTACTCACAAAATAAAAGTATCTACTGTAATCAAACACCATATGCTATAAAGAAACTTAGAATTACACAAACAAGATTTAATACTATATGTAATTTCAAGAGTAAGACAGAAATTATAATGACTGGCAGCAAGCATCAGGAAGAAGTTTGGAATTATTGTGAAAAGGCTCGAAACATCAAGAAAATGATAAGAATTACGTTCCTAGGGTTTCATACTGCAAGAAAAGTCTGAAATGACACTGACAGTCTTTAATTATATTGGCAAAATCTCAGACAATATGAAAAATCTACAATGGTAGGATTCAAGATTGCATGAAAAGCCTATACTTTTGACACCAAATAAATTTTTTTTTAATAATACATGTCAAGGTCAAATTTTTGGGTTGGGTTGGATTAATAAAGTGTAACACTTTATGTACTTGCACTGGCAAGATTTCAGACTTTAAGGAATACTCAGGAATTACATCGAAGAGATGTTACACTGCGGGAAATACTCTGGAAGTACTCTGGTGAATCTCCAGATTTCAAGAGTAAGACAGAAATTATAACTACTGGCACCAAGCATCAGGAAGAAGTTTGGAATTATTTTAAAGAGGCTCGAAACATCAAGAAAATGTTAAGAATTACGTTCCCAGAGTTTCATACTGCAAGAAAAAGTCTGAAATTGTATGATAGTCTTTAATTATATTGGCATAACCTCAGACATTATGAAGAAATCTAGAATGGCAGAGTTCAAGATTGCATGAAAAGTCTATACTTTTAACATAAAATCAATTTTTTTAATAATTCCTGTCAAGGTTAAAGTTTTGGGTTGGGTAATAAGATTCAATACTGTATGTACTTACACTGGCAAGACTTTAGACTTTAAGGAATACTCTGGAATTACATCAAAGAGATGTTACACTATGAGAAAATTTCTGCAATTACCTTGATGAATCTCCAAATTTCAAGAGTAAGACAGAAATTATAATGACTGGCAGCAAGCATCAGAAAGATGTTTGAAATTATTGTGAAGAGACCCAAAACGTCAAGAAAATGTTAGAAAAAGTCTGAAATTGTATGATATTCTTTAATTATATTGGCATAACCTCAGACATTATGAAAAAATCTTCAATGATAGGATTCAAGATTGCATGAAAAGCCTATACTTTTGACACCAAATCAATTTTTTTTAATAATACCTGTCAAGGTAAAATTTTTGGGTTGGGTTGGATTAATAAGATTCAACACTGTATGTACTTGCACTAGCAAGACTTCAGACTTTAAGGAATACTCTGGGATTACATCGAAGAGATGCCACACTGCGAGAAAATTTCTGCAATTACCTTGATGAATCTCCAAGCATCAGAAAGAAGTTTGGAATTATTGTAAAGAGGCTCGAAACAACAAGAAAATGTTAGAAATTACGTTTTCAGGGTTCCATACTGCTAGAAAAAGTCTGAAATGATACTGGACATTATCAAAACCTCAGACATTATGAAGAAACTACTTATAGACTTACATCAAATAATGCAAGATTCAATAATGCCAGAGATCAATTTTTTTTTCAATAATACCTGTAAAGGTCAAATTTTTAGAATTTGCTGTTGGCATTACCTCGGGTCATATAAAGACTTTATTTCAGACAAGGAAAGAACATGTTCTTCGTCCCAATTATCTTCTTCTACCATTTCATCGTTTTTAACAAAGTTTACCGTTTGTTATCTTCCATATTTTGGGACAGTTCTCCACAAACAGTAATCCTAAGAAGTATTTTTCAAAAATTCTACTCATCATCCAGGTCTTGTTAATCAAGCTATTTTATGCCATAACAACAACGCTAATTTTTGATTTTCCAATAACTAGTGATTTTAACTTTTTCGAAGCAGTCATATTGAGGGCCATGTTGCAACAGTAAATCTTTTTTTGTTCTTTTTACCCCTAAAGTATTGTATTTTTCGATTAAATCAGACAAAACATTTTTTTGCCAATCTTTGTCTAAACTTATTCAACTAATTATTAGATTATTTTATTTTGTTTCACTATTTTATGTATAAATATAAAACTAAACACTGTTATTATATAGATATTGATCTATATGAAGCTTGAAACTGTTATGGACATAATTAAAACATAAAAACTAGTAATTGATGCAATCAGTCTTATTAATATCAATATCATTATGATACATTGACTTAATTACGTGTTTCTTTGAAGTTATTAGTACTCAAATTAATTATTTTCATAATGTTTCGCAATTTAGGTGTAACATATTTACATTTAAATTTTTCTTTCAATAACATCCAACAAACTGTTTACAGTAACATTAAGTGTTACAATTTATTCAATGCTTAACAAGCAAAAAACCCATAAACAAATTAGTACATGGACTGAGCAATTGTAATTTTTTTCAATTACATTTAATGAATAGAAATTATGAAGTGATTTATAGAAATAATTTTCTGTGCACATAAACATTTTAATTATCAAATACTTACCAAAGAATTTTAAAGATAATAATTAATATTTTGATTAATGGGTTAGAAAAATAAAACGAATCAATTTTTTTTTAAAGCTTCAACCTTTAATTTAAAGACAAAAACAGTATGGATAAATTGTCCACAATACAAACGATAAAAACAAACAAAAAATGAATATTAAATGCAGAAAGTACAACCAACTTTTTTATTATTCCTCGTCAATCAAATTTTTTGAAAATTTGAACGATCAGTTGTTACGTTATGACAATGTGTCTTACACTTAAAAGTAAACTTAAAATGTAATGACTAGCGTAAATAAAGACGCAATAATCGCGAAATCTATAAAAAAGTACCCCGTTTTGTATTGCTATTTGTAATTGAAATGCAATAAGTTAGTTTATTAAAAAAATATATATCATAATAAACCCTTTCGTCCAAAATATTTAATTAAACTATGATACGTGAAAATATTGTTTGGAATGTAAACTAAAAAGCACGAAATAAATTAATATTTAAATTTTAAAACGTTAAAGTGTTTTAAATAATTTTTTAATGTAGAGGAAAAAGTGGGTAAAATAGTTTTATTTTGTGTTATTAAAACGTTTTATGTGTTTTTTGTATGCAAAATGTTTTTTTTATATTTTGAGTTTATTATAAAAAAAAATTGTTTGTTTTTGTTTTTCAATTATGTTAAATTTATGCAAGTTTAATTAATAATAGACATTTTTTATCTACTTTTAACAATTTATCTAAATTTATTTTTATCCAATTTAATAAAATTTTTAACAACATTTTTATCTATCAACTTTTTTAATGTTTAATTAGAACCGAAAGCCCTACTTTTTAGTAATTTTGCTACTTCAACAGTTTATTTTGATTTTTCCTTTTTATCAAGTTGATTTATTACACTTAATTGTACTTATTTTATTTATAACAGTAATTTTATACTTGTTTCATTAATTTCTACAATTTTATTACAAAAAAATCACCCCAATTATTAACTTCTACATCTTATCAACGAATTAATTAATTAATTATTGAAATGGACCAGGAAGAAGTTACACAAAGAAAAATCACAAATCCTTCCATAAACACCATTTCAATTAAAAAAAAATTAATTATTAACAATTTGCACACAAAAAACACAAAAAATTGAAAGAACTCTATTTTTTTTTTTAATTATTTGTATTTTTTATCACTACTGCACCTTAGATTTAAGTAGGGGGTAATCAGCAGTGATTGGTGCGCTTCGATTTTTCGATTTACGTTCCTTTGATAAATAGGCCTTGTGGAAGAACCGCGCAAATAATACAAAATAACTGAAATACATAGCGATCGACAATTTGATATTAAACGGCGAGATGTGGCACTCGGATTTATTTTGGAGCAATTGATGCGCCCAAATGTTGATTAAACAACCAATCACCATTTGTAATAATTGCAATGAAGTAATAACCATCGCGATTTGCCTCGGCGGGCTGTAACCCATCGCTCTTAAAGCGTAATAAGAGTACATTACGGAATGGACGCAATAATTCATCACAATGAACCATCGGGCGCTTGCTGTATACTCTGTATAACTGAACCAAGAGTAAAGAAGCACCGTTATGTGATGGTACCAATGTAGGAAAATTAAGGGTTGCTTTCTAAGAACTATGAAAATGGTATCGCCGAGTTCCGGGAGTTTACTTAAAACGAACATCCAAGTCCAAAAACCGGAGACTTTATCTTGCTCGATAAACGATGGTATGCAGACGGAATGGTACAAACCGTGATGGGTTAATGTGTGAATGAATTCCGGTACGGTTCTGCAGGCCCCCATTATACTAAACGTTGCCAAAAGTGTGTTCCATAAAACTAAAACTCCTCGCAGTTCGAATCTGGGTCTGTTTTGCATCAAATGTTGGCCGCCGAAAATAAGAATCATGTAAACGCCAACATAGTAGAATCCTAAGGTCCAATTTTCCGTCATCCACGTGCGGGTGTCCTGGTGTTTGAAACCACTTTCGAAGTTGAACATGTATGAGTAATTCGGCAACGACACGTCCATCGTAAGGGATCCAGGTTTGTGTGCAAACAAATCGCGCGCGTTTCTAGCACTGAACTACCGGTAGACTTGGCGGATTCTTTTCTACCCCACCGACGACTATCACGAGCAAAATGACGAAGACGACGGACGGTTACTTGAAGGAGTTGGGACCGGCAAAATGGGACTCCGTTCGCTCGACGCCCATACAAGCAACATAGAGCGCATGCGTTTTGTATCGGTACCGACTCGTCGGAAAATTTTTAAATTGAAACCTTCTACAAAAATTTATTTTAATTCTTTCAGTCATCAAGATCTTATTAGTTAATTTTGCATTGTTATAAGTTATAACTCAATCATGTATTCTGTATTGTATTCTACATTTAAATAAGAATTTATGCAACCAACCTTACACATTTACACAGAAGAATTCTGTATTACCGTCTTTTTCCGAAAATAAGAATTACTTTCTTTTTTCGTCCAAAATACGCGCTTATTTTCGGGGGATGGCAAAAATAAAAGTATATTTATATATTTTTATTTAATATTTATTTTACACAGAATACAGAAATTTAAATTTATCCAACTACAGTCATGTCATCTTCTTCTGGAACATCGTCATAAATAAAATTCTGAATTATATTCTGATTTTCTTCCAAATCCATTTCCTGTTGAATCATTGGTCCGAATCTCTCATGTCTTGCGATATAGCTATCGTTAAATGAATACTTCTTGTCTAAGCAATTCACAACTTCTTGTAAGCCTGGTTTTACAAAATTACCTCGATGATTTCTCACCATTCTGTTTTCAATTGATTTCCATCCGCAAATGATCCTTGAATAGCTTGTATATTACAATGACAAGTGTCTGGAGGTAACCAGTCATTCCTGCCGGAATCATTATTTGATCAATCTTCCTCTCAGCAAGAAAGTTTTTCATGTCTTTAGCGCGGTGAGTACTGGCTGAATCCCAAACTAGTAAACCTCTATTCTGACACACATTGGTGGCAGCATAAAATCAACCCACTTTCTTATAACTGCTTGGGTGCACCACGCTTTTTCACTTTCAATGACATAAATTCCTGAAACACGTTGAATCTGGTCTTTTTTACCTTTAGTGATTAAAAATGGCGATATTTTCTTCCCATCTAGACGAATCGCCAAAATACAGGTAAATTGACGAAGAAGCCTTGTGGTGAACTGTCGTTTGAGCTCCTTGGCCTAGGAATACCGCGGTCTCATCCATAGCAATCATGTTGGAGAGTTGGTATTTCGAAAAATCGATGCCATCAACAAAAAGCTTAAACGCAAGTGCACGCTTACCAACTTCATTGTCTTCCAGCTTAAACAATGTTGTTGATCTCCTTAGAGACAGTTCATATCGTTTAAGGAAGTTGTCCAACCAGTGTGGCGATGCTTTAAATTCTTCTGTGGATATATCAAATTCAATTCCTGTTTCAAGGACAAATTTTTGAATATCAGCCCTGCACACAACCAAAGCCATTGCTCTCCTGCCTGCAATCCATTCCCAGATGCAATCTTCCAACTCAGAAAATAACGACTGCCGACCTGATCCAACTCTGCGTTTTTTCTCATTTCCTTGGTCCACCAGTTGACACAGGTAATCGTAGTCTGCACGCCATTTACGAACCATACGGAGATCCAGCATCTTCTCTTTACAGAATGCTACAAGATTTACACCCCNTAGGAATACCGCGGTCTCATCCATAGCAATCATGTTGGAGAGTTGGTATTTCGAAAAATCGATGCCATCAACAAAAAGCTTAAACGCAAGTGCACGCTTAACAACTTCATTGTCTTCCAGCTTAAACAATGTTGTTGATCTCCTTAGAGACAGTTCATATCGATTAAGGAAGTTGTCCAACCAGTGTGACGATGCTTTAAATTCTTCTGTGGATATATCAAATTATTGCTGTTTCAAGGGCAAATTTTTGAATATCAGCCCTGCGCACAACCAAAGCCATTGCTCTCCTGCCTGCAATCCATTTCCAGATGCAATCTTCCAACTCAGAAAATAACGACTGCCGACCTGATCCAACTCTGCGTTTTTTCTCATTTCCTTGGTCCACCAGTTGACACCAGCATCTTCTCTTTACAGAATGCTACAAGATTTACACCCCTGGAGTCTTCCACGATTCCCTATTTGTACTCGACGGAATAGCTCTTTAAATACATTTTGCATAAAATCCGAGCCCTAATTATAACCAACTGAAGATTACTGCATTAATTTAATATTTCTAAAACGTCAAAAATTAGCTCGGCCTTTTAGGAAGGACACATTTAGGAAGAACCGGGAATTGTTGTTATCAATCTTGAAATTTTAAGAAATTGGTAGGAATGACGTTGGCTGAGTTTGAAATTAAAAAAAATATCTAGAATTCCATCTAGATTTTGTGAAAAGGCTGTTATTTTTTTATTTGATACCTCAATATTTTTGTTAATATAGATAATTTCATAATTGAGTATGAGTATGAAAATTTCCCAAAGTGTTAATAAAAGTGTTCTCTTTCCAATGAACCAACCCGTTTTGAAAAATAACTTTTAGTTTTTGAGAAAACAATATTTGAAGTTTTGATAAAATTTTCAATGTTGCAATTTTCATCGATAATTTTCAAAATTCGCTATAAAATTCATTTTTTGAAGGATTCTTGTGGAAATATCACCAATTATTCATTAAAGTATCCTCTTTTTGATGCAGAAAACCGTTTTGAAAAATCAATTTTAGTTCTTGAGAAATAAATTTTTGAAAAAATCGACAATTTTTTCGAATTTTACAATTTTCGCCGATTGAGTTTTAAAAATTCCTATAAAATCCAGTTCTTGGAATATGACTATGAAAATTTCCCAAAATGTTAATAAAAGCGTCCTCTTTCCAATGAACCAACACGTTTTGAAAAATAATTTTTCGTTTTCGAGAAAACAATATTTGAATTTTCGATGTTACAATTTTCATCGATAATTTTCAAAATTCGCTATAAAATTAATTTCTTGAAGGATCCTTGTGGAAATGTCATCAATTATTAAATAAAGTATCCTCTTTTTAATGCAAAAATCCGTTTTGAAAAATCACTTTTAGTTATTGAGAAATAAATTTTTGAAATAATCGACAATTTTTTCGAATTTTGCAATTTTCGAAGATTAAGTTTTAAAAATTCGTATAAAATCCAGTTCTTGGAATAGGAGTATGAAAATTTCCCAAATTGGTAATAAAAATGTGCTCTTTCCAATGAACCAACCCGTTTTGAAAAATAACTTTTCATTTTTGAGAAAACAATATTTAAAGTTTTAAGAAAAGTTTCGATGTTGCAATTTTCATCGATAATTGTCAAATTTCGCTATAAAATTAATTTCTTGAAGGATCCTTGTGGAAATGTCATCAGTTATTAATTAAAGTATCCTCTTTTTAATGCTAAAATCCGTTTTGAAAAATCACATTCAGTTCTTGAGAAATAAGTTTTTGAAGTGATTGACAATTTTTTCGAATTTTTCAATTTTGGCCGATTAAGTTTTAAAAATTCGTATAAAATCCATTTCTTGGAATATGAGTTTGAAAATTTCCCGACGTATTAATAAAAGTACTCTCTTTCCAATGAACCAATACGTTTTGAAAAATAACTTCTAGTTTTTGAGAAAACAATATTTGAAGTTTTGATAAAATTTTCAATGTTGCAATTTACATCGATAATTTTCAAAATTCGCTATAAAATTCATTTTTTGAAGGATTCTTGTGGAAATATCACCAATTATTAATTAAAGTATCCTCTTTTTAGAGTCGCTTCGGGAGTTAAATCAATATCAAAAAAATTCATTTTGTATCTTGGATCCAAATAAGACTTATCTTATCTTATCAGCTTTCTTATTAATTTCATTTTTGTTCAAATATCGCAATAATATGGCAATATAGGGTACTTTAGAAATACACGAGAAATTATAACCATAATGTCCGGATAGATATGCCGGAATCAAAAATCACTTCCATCACTAAGACCAAGTAACCGTTTAGAATTAGCTTCTAAAATTGCTCAAAGACAAGTTTGGGATTGTGCTAACAACATTTTTGGATGCAAGTTTGTAAATCTATTGGCAAATCACCATAGTTTCAGAAGCTGTTTGGAATTATGTTGGATACCCACCATCCTTCAAGAATAAGTCTGGAATGATTAGCAATATTTCCAACTTTAGCAAGATATATATTCTGGCCTAACTAAAATTATCTTGGGCACCCTCAAATCTCAAAAACAAGGTTGGAGTTGCAATGAAAATTGGCGCTGCAGTATAAACCAAGAGCAACAAAGCCTAAACCATTAAGTAGCCGACGAAGTGCCATTTTTATTACTATGCCCAGTAGTACACAATTATCACATTTGTGTGGAAACAATTTCTGGAGCCACTAAATTGGCTTCTTACTGGCACTAATAATTCATGCATGTGGAATCTTAGCCCATTGATGGTTAGCTATATTCTCACATACCAGAAATAAATACAACAAATAACAAAAAAAAAATTTCCGATACCGGGAATCGAACCCGAGCCTCCTGGGTGAAAGCCAGGTATCCTAGCCACTAGACCATATCGGATATACAGTTTAAGTACCAACTGTGAAAATTCACCCCGCAACAAGAATTAACAATATTTTTTAGGATAATAAATAAGATGTTATACAATATTTTTGCGTTAAGATGCTTCAAGTTTTACATCACTTCAAGATAAATATTATAACATAATAGTTCTTAACTAGAAACATTTTTGATAAATTATGATTTGTAGCAGTGTTTGCAAAAGTTTTCGTGCTCCCATTTCTCGTTGGATTTCCCAAGAGAAAAAATTGATTTTAACGTCTTCTCATTAACAGCAGCTTTCTTCTTCTCCAAGAAGAAAAAGAAAGCTTATATAAAGGATGTTCAACATTTTCACCAGTTAGAAATGCCAGAGAGTTTAAAGAAGAACATAATGGAATTCAAACATTTTCAAAAAGCGATCTTAATTTTTATTTCAATTTCAATCGTCCATGGGGGGATTAAAAGAAGAACCGACGAAGAGGGAGAATTTAATAAACACCAGTACGACGTTGGAAATGATGAGCATTTAATAGATTTTTATGTAAGTTTTAATTTGTTTCCATAAAAATATTTAAATTGTTTAATACTTTTTAGACTATTCCAAAATATGTGTTTAAATATGGTGTTAACGATTTTTACACTGGAGATATCAAATCACAGCAAGAAAGTAGAGATGGTGATATAGTTAAAGGAAAATATTCTTTGGTAGAACCGGATGGCTCTGTTCGTATTGTTGAATACACAGCTGATAAACACAGTGGATTTAATGCTGTTGTCCATAAAACGAATCCAACAATTGCATCTAATGAAGAAAAAGAGGAATGAAAAAGAAGATGGTTTTGTTAATAATTATGGAAATTTTAAGAAAAGTTGAGAAAACAAAATTGTGATTTTTAGATAGTAAAGCCATCAATTTTACACAAAAACTAAATTAGTTATCAACATATTCACTCATCAGCACTAATTTATTTTTAAAATCAAATGGAATATTTTATTTATTTTATAACAAATTCTTTTAACAAAAGAAATGATTCGATGTTAGTTGTATCTAGTCTATTCATAATAAATTCACACATTTCTAATAAATTAAACGTAAGTTGAAGAGGAGAATCTAACAAAAATCATTTAAAGTAATATAGGCAACCAAGTTCACAGTAAAGCAAAATTTGCATTTAACTAAATAGTTTATTTAACTAATTTGCATTTTCTTATTTAACTAAATAGTTTATTTAAAGCTTCATCATTTAATCGATACAAATGCCACTCTTCCGTTTTCGTCAAATCAATGGCACCAAGTTTTTTATAAAAATCCACAGCGGGGTTCCACCGTAAAACGTGAAAATCTAATCTATGGCTGCTTTCGTGAGCTAATTTAGCGACTTTTTTAAATAATTCTTCGCCAACCCCTTGTTTACGAAACTCCTCTTTTACAAATAAATCTTCTAAAAAAATGCTTGTACCCAACCAAGTCGAATAACAATAATAATAAATAGTAAACCCAATTATTTCCGAGTTTAATTCAGCCACAAAGCAGTGAAACGTCGGGTTTGGTCCAAAACCGTCTTTTTGTAATGTTTCTGGTGATATTTTTACTTCATTCGGCATTTTTTCAAAAATAGCTAATCCCTAATAATGTAATTTAATTTTGTGTATTCGTTAATTTTTTTGGAAGTACTCACTTTAATCATTTCATAAACATCTTTCATATCTTCCTTTTTCGCTTTTCTTACAAGAAATTCTTTCATTTTGACAATTTTTTTAGGTTAGAAAATATTTTAAATTGAGTAAAAGATTAATAAATATCCACGTGTTGGTAATAGTTTATATTGATACTTATTCAACAAGTTTTTGATCTAAATTGGAAATTAAAGTGCTTTTAAGGATACTATTAAGATTAACAAGATTTTTAGATAATAATTTTGATTGTTGCTAAATTTTAGGTTAAGTTTACTACTGTCAATGTCAAATTGACATTGACAATTCTTTTTATAAATTAATTTATATGAAATAAATTAATGAAAATGGTTTATAATACTAATTTTTTTATTCTAATTAAACTAGTTATAAGAAACAAATCATTTTTCATTGAAAGAAGTGTTTCATTAATGTAAAAATAAAAAACCTTGTCATGATGTGTTATTGAGATAAAAAGTTCGTATTAAAGGTCATAAAGTAATAGAAATTACAATATGATCTTTGCCCCCTACAACAACAATCGAGTATTCAATCCACGCACTTTATTTATTATCGTAAATGAAAAGCGGAATTTTTTATTTCAAATCTATTTCATTTTGAAACTGTGTTGGAACCAAGCATTTGGCGCCGTTTCGTAACAATCTTCGCTTGCGCACACACGGTCATTCCTTGGGTTAATAAAATCGTAGTCATACGGTCTCGATTTGTCCCAGTTTCATCATACAACAACCAAATACGATGGCCACCATATTACGAACTGTTTTAGCAGAAAATGCTGTCTTTAAAACAGCACCAAAAGTAAGTTTAATGTGTGTATGAGATTAAAAAGGCGTTTCCCGTCTTTTCCCCAATTAACAATGGAAAATTTCTTCCAATTCTGTTTCATTTAATCAAAAATTCAAAGTAATAACCTTCGCATCTCCGGATATCCTTGAAAAATTCCTTATCGCCCTTGAGTTCTAATTTAACATTCCCCCTTTAACAACACCTGATGGTATTAAATATAGTGAGGGGGGTTATGTAACCTATTATTATTTTTTATTTGTTGTGTCAGGTTTTAGCTGCAGTATGCCAAACCAGAAATTTAAGTGTTCATGAACATATTAGTTACACAATTTTGAGAAATGCCGGGATTCAAGTTCCTAATTTTGGGGTTGCTAAAACTAAAGAAGAGGCCAAACAAATCGCTGAAAAATTAAATACCAAAGATTTAGTGCTTAAAGCACAAGTTTTAGCAGGAGGTCGTGGTAAGGGTTCTTTTAAAAATGGACTTAAAGGTGGTGTTCGCATGGTTTACTCGTAAGTCATAGTTTTCTCCTTTTATTATTGAGTTATATTAGTTCCTTTTTATGTAAAGCCCTGAAGAAGCAGCTGACATTTCTGGAAAAATGCTTGGACAATATTTAGTCACCAAACAAACTGGTGAAAAAGGAAGAATTTGCAATGCTGTTATGGTTACTGAAAGAAAGTTTCCCAGGAAAGAATATTATTTTGCAATTATGATGGAAAGGGCGTTTAAAGTAAATACAATTTAGTGCTTTATTAAAATTTAAGAAACATAACCTCATTTTTAAGTTATTGACGTAACACGTAGGCAACTTATTTTACACTTCAGTATAAATTGTTGCCTACATTTCATATTTTAATCATATTTAATTTTATTTTTAGGGTCCTGTAATAATTGCATCATCCCAGGGTGGTGTAAACATAGAAGAAGTTGCCGCTGAAAATCCTGATGCCATAACATATGAACCAATCGATATTATGGTTGGAATAACAAAAGAACAAGCTCAAAAAGTGGTTAAAAAAGTGGGTCTTGAGAAACAAATGGATAATACCGTACAACTTTTAATGAACATGTACAAATTGTTCTGTGAAAAAGATGCTCTTTTAATCGAGATTAACCCATACGCAGAAGATGCTGGTGAAAAATACTACGCCCTTGACGCCAAAGTTCGTTTTGACGACAACGCAGATTTCCGCCAAAAAGACGTTTTTGCGCTTCGCGATTGGACACAAGAAGATGAAAAAGAGGTCCAAGCGGCTAAATTTAATTTAAATTACATCTCTTTAGATGGAAATATTGGGTGTTTAGTAAATGGTGCTGGTTTAGCTATGGCTACTATGGATATTATTTCTTTACATGGAGGACAACCAGCTAATTTCTTGGACGTTGGCGGTGGTGCTACAGCAACCGCTGTTAAGGAAGCTTTTAAAATTATTACCGCCGATCCTAAAGTTTATTCAATCCTTGTAAATATTTTTGGTGGCATTATGAGGTGTGATGTTATTGCTGAAGGTATTGTTGCTGCAGCAAAAGATTTAAAATTAAAAATTCCAATTATTTGCCGCCTTCAAGGTAAATTAAGGATTTCTTTTTAAATGTTATTTACTTATTTATATTTTTTTAAGGTACAAACGTGGATGATGCTAAAGTAATTATTGCAAGTTCAGGAATGAAAATTCTTCCTGTTGACAATTTAGATGAAGCTGCAAGACTCGCCGTGAAATTATCCAGTATTGTTAGTTTAGCCAGAGATGCTAAATTAGACGTTAATTTCGAAATGCCTCTATAAATAAATGCTTTTTAGCGTTTAAATTAAAAATTATTAATCAATTAACATAAAAATATCAGTAATTCACCTTCCTAAGGTTTTAATAAGACGTCGTATTTATTTTCATTGAAATTATTAACTTTTTGTATTTTTAATTTAGGGAGAAAGTAATTATTAGAATCTATAAGAGAAGTTTTTTTATTTTGTTCAAAACGTGTTTGAAATTATTAAATTATTTTGTTTTTAATAATAATTGTAAATAAGGATAAGAGGAGGTTGTTAATTACAGATAAGTATTGTGAAGATTTATTTCTTTATGTGAATGTTTAAAATAAACTACCATCAGGCTTATTATATGGTAATTATTCTGTATATTTTAATTTAAATAAATTATATCTCAAATATTATTTTTACATTTTTTTTTGTAATTTAAACACGATGAATAAATAAGAATAAGAAAGATTAAAGACAATGTGATGTAATATCGAGGTTCGTTGAGTAAACATACTGTATAAGGTTATATGAACGTATCCCCTCGCAAAGGCCTTGCTGTGACGTCACTGGAAGAATTGACATTTCTATGTTTTTATTTATACGGTGTATTTCACTTAAGAAGCAATATACAAAAATATAAAAAAAAAGATAAAATAAAATTAAAAAAATATTAAAATATTAACGGTTATAATTGACTTGGTTATGACTCGGTTACCATGGTGATTAAGATCCAAATATGGCAGGTGCTTGTCAAAATTGAAATTGAATTTAAGGTTTTTTAAGGAAAAAGTCTTATTTAATTGGTTTAAATGGTTATATTTAACTCAAAATTGGTTTATCTAGGGTATTATAAACAAGGTAAGTGGATTAAATCAAAAAAAGATATTTTTAATTAGGTTAGAATTGACAACAAAAATCGGATTAAAATTTTATTATTTTAAGGTTATCCAACTTGACTCGGTTACCATGGTGATTAAGATCCAAATATTGCAGTTGCTTGTCAAAATTGAAGTTGAATTTAAGTTTTTTTTAATGAAAAACACATAATTAATTGGATTTAAAGGTTGTATTTAATTCAAAATGGGTAAAGAGATGAAATTATAAGCAAGGTAAGTGGATTAAATCAAAAAAAAATATTTTTAGATCTTGTACAAGAATTTAGGGTTAAATAACAATTAAAACTAGAACACTAGACCTAGAACTAGAAAGTTTTAGGTTTAGCAGGGCGTCTTAGACAAGAACTTAGAAAAGGCTGAAGACGGACGGAAAATAAAGAATACAGATATGTCAGAATTGAGGTCGACATTTTAAATCTGAAGTTAGTTATCTATCATATAATAGACAAATTGACAACTTCATGATGTTCTTTCATGATGTATTCTCTATTAAAAAACCTTTAAAATGAGTCCAAACAGGACGCACTTATCTCAAAAAACAAAAATGTTTGAATTAAAAAACGTTAAATCCGAAATTAGCAACAATGAAGATAGCAATATAATTTTTAAATATTAATACCAACCTTAGCAGATCGTAAATCAGACTCAGGTAATCGGTGCCACCGTGCCACCAATAGATTCGACACGGAAAGAGAAATAACTTTTTCTGTGAATTAAAGTCGTCCGTTATTGGACGTCGTTAAACAATTCCCATGCGGTTATTATAAACATTTCGAAAAAAATTTATTAGAAAAATTACTTCAAAATAATGTATCCTACAACCGTATAATGCTCTGATGCGGAAGATATGGGACACCTGTATACTGTATACCATACATAATGGGCAGCCTGTACATATATTATATTATACTTTTCCTCCAATGACGTCACGTTTCCTACCTCACCCCGTCAACGTCAATTTGTTCGAGTTGGATAACCTTATAACCAATACTCAACGGACCTTGATGTAATATAACGAATGATTTTACAGTTTTCTTTTCTTTCTATAATACCTGTCAAATTTTTGTAAAGTTGACAAAATTAACAGGGTTTTTTGTTTTATCATGTTTTGAAATAAATATGTCACAGTGACGTTTGAGATTTCGATATTCAAAAAGTTAAAAGTAATAAAATTGAAATAAAATGAACGCAAGAAAAAGAATGCAACTTACTGAGGTTGAACTAAAACGAGCATTACTAAGGTATAAATTGGAACTAACAGATTTGAAGCCTGATATCTCAGAACAAGAACTAATCATTCGGCTTCATAAAATATTTAATGTATGTTTTTATTTAAACAAATTCGTGTTTTTTAATTCAAAATTATTTATCAGGTTACTAAAACTGCTGCTCCTACAAGATCAAAGGTGGGGATATAACGATTGAAATTAACAATCAAAGAGATCAGTTCATGTTCAACATTTGAAGATAAATCTGCAATAAATTCTTTGCTGTTTTAAACAAGCCATATTTCGGTCAATAAAAAGCGGTGAGTTATTTATTAAGTCGATTTCTTTCGAAATGAGATCTTAAAAACACAATTTTTCAATATTAATCTATTAATAATCATTATTCATAAGCTTGATAAACATAATTTCAATCTTTGACCTATAAAAACATAAAGATAACCTATAAAATCAAAAAAATAGAAACTTTAGTGTTGTTACTAGTATTGTTATAACAAATTTTCTAAAATAAACTAAGAAATCTTATTTTGTAGGTTTAAATTAAAAGAAGCACTCCAACAAAATGAAATTAAAATTTCTATTATTACCACTTCTTACAATATTGATTACAACATCAAATTGTTTTAACTTCAACCCAAGTAAATCGGATTTAATATTAACTTTAGATTCTGAACCGAAATCGCGTCAAATCCGAAACGCAAAAGAAGACGGAGATTATGACGAATTCAACCATGAAGTAGAAATACCAAAAATTTATTCGCTGCGAATTAAATCGAAAGTAAGCAATCGATATGCTGAAACTGTGATTATAAGTAAAGTTCGAAATGAAGCTAAAATCGCCCAAGAAACTGTTTTTGCTGTAATCCTACCCGAAAAAGCTTTCATTTCTAAATTTGTTATGGCGGTGAATGGACGGGATTACACTTCTCATGTAAAAGAAAAAGAAGAAGCTGAAGGAATTTATAACAAAGCTGTAGAAAAGGGACAAACCGCCGCTCATGTAGTTGCGAGTGTCCGAGATTCAAACCGATTTACAGTGTTTTTAAACATCGAACCTTTAAGTAAAGCAACTTTCTATTTAACATACGAACAATTATTAGAGTTAAAAGATAACATGTACGAATTGATTATTAACATAAATCCGAGGCAACCCGTTAAAGATCTTGAAGTTGAAGTCGAAATTAACGAAAGTGTACCATTGAGGATGGTTAGAGCACCACCAATTCGATCTGGAAATAATTTAATCCAATCCCAACAAGATTTAGACCCAAGAGCAAAAATTCAAAGGATTAATCGAAATTCTGCCAGAATTAATTTTAAACCGGACGTTCATAGACAAAAGGAATTAGCAAAATTTATGAACCTTTTTGAAGAAACTGGTTTATCAGGACAATTTGTTGTTCAATATGATGTTGAAAGAAATCAAAACGGTGGTGAAGTAAATATAAAAATTATTAATTTGCTAGAAAAAAGGTGACATCCTTATGATAGATAACCCTGAGTTTTCGGCCGTCTTAAAGAGACGCATGGCTAAACCCCAATGTTTCTGGTTCTAGGTCTAGTGTTAGTTCTACTTTTCGTTCAATAAAAATATGCCATAATTTAACGTTGAATAACAATTAAAACTAGAACTAACACTAGACTTAGAACTAGAAACATTCGGGTTTAGCCGCAAGTCTCGCAAGATGGCTAAATCCGAATGATTCCAGTTTTAGGTCTTGTGTTAGTTCTAGTGATAGTGCTAGTGCAATACTAGAACTAACACTAGACCGAGAACTAGAAACATTCGGATTTAGCCGCACATCTCTCAAGACGGCTAAACCCGAATGATTCTAGTTCTAGGTCTTCTGTTAGTTTTAGTGATAGTGTAAAACTAGAACTAACACTAGAACTAGAAACATTCGGGTTTAGCAGCAAGTCTCTCAAGACGACTAAACCCGAATGATTCTAGTTGAAGTGTTAGTTCTAGTATTATATCAATAAAAATATGCTATATAGTGATATCTTATGTTAACCAGCGCTACCTACCACTGTCACTATAACTAACATTAGACCGAAAACTGGAAACATTCGGATTTAGCCACACGTCTCTCAAGACGGCTAAACCCGAATGATTCTAGTTTTAGGTCTTGTGTTAGTTCTGGTGATACTGCAATACTAGAACTAACACTAGACCGAGAACTAGAAACATTCGGGTTTAGCCGCACGTCTCTCAAGACGGCTAAACCCGAATGATTCTAGTTCTAGGTCTAGTGTTAGTTCTAGGTTTAGTTCAATAAAAGTATGCAACATAGCGATATCTCATGCTAACTAGCGCTATCTACCGCTGTCACTAGAACTAATAACATTAGACCTACAACTAGAAACATTCAGACATGTTGCATTTTATGTGGGACAAAGCAAGTATATTGCATTTTAACCTTTTTTGTCCCAAGACGTTAAAGATTTTGAAACATTGTGACAGAATTAAAACGCCATCAAAATACACTCAGTAAAGGCCTTTGGGATCAATTTTAACAAAATATGACAGTCCCCCCATTCTAGGGGCATAATGCTACTTGAGAGTACCGTCAGGCATTAAAATTTAGAAAATAAGTAACACTTGCTTTAGCTAAATCACATTATGATATTCAGAAAAACAGTTCTTTTTTCTCTGAACTGAATAGCATTGGCAGAACAATTTTCACACCTTTCTCTTTCTTTTCCAAAAGTAATCCACAGCGAAACTTTAGTCTTTCGGGTAACTGGGCTGGTGAACATTGCGCTTCACATTCAGAATATATGACAAAAGAATTGACGAAGCATATATCATATATACTTCTTGGAAGTTGATCGGCATAATCTACCGAACCCATGTCTTTATTGTAACTTCCTTTTTACGGTGGTCTCTTCTGTTCCATGAAAATTAGAGCAAAATTTCACGCACTTACTGCCCTTCCATTTGTAATAACTTATATCTAAATTTGAGATCTAGTAATCATAATCTCCTCTTTGATTCGTTTTTCATCTACTAAATTTTTTGGTGCACCTCTTTTTGAGACCTTATTGTTCCACAAGCTAAGGTTTTCTCAAGTTTCAGTTTTTCCAAAATACAGATACTTGTAAAAAAGTTATCGAAATAAATCATTCTATTTTTATTTAATCTTCAGCATTACTCCATAAGAGTTTATAGCTTGGCAAACTGTGATAATTCATTAAGAAATTTATGCCAAGGAAACACAGCAACTCTTCTTCTTTCAAGTTTAGCGTTTGATAGATAATATCTTTCACACAGTTACCCATTAGTGTTAGAAAATAATCTGTAGGATTATTGCAAGTTGCAAAAGTATCACCAATTATTCCTTCTGGATAATCGTATCCTGGAATTTCAGTCTGTTTTTCCGTTTTCTCCATTTTCTATCAATTTCTGCTTTGTTCTTCTTCTTGGATCCTTTGCCACGTATTTCTACGACTTCAGTGTCACTTTCCTCATTTTGTTCTACTTCTTCATATTTTAACATAGGTATCTCACTCTACTCTTTTCCCAATCTTCTATGTCTATCTGTTCAGAATTATGCAACAGAACATTTTCTAATTCAACACAAACTTTTCAAGCTCTACATCAGTCAAAGCTTTATTCAAGTGCAAAACGTATCTGTATTCGCTTGGCTCATCAATCTCAATATTGTACCTGTTATTATCCTGACGGATGTACTAAACACAAAACGTAACTTTTATCTACACGAACAACTTAAAAATCACACCTAATAACCATTTATCAAAGAGATACCTTTTTGAACAACAAAATTCAGCAACACCACTAACATCCAACCTCACATCTGGATGAATAAGTTTAAATATACCTAAAACCCTACAGTGCAGATCGCATCATTTTTTATACAGGTTCTTTCTTGTATAGTGGAAAGTACCGATAGCTCTAAATGCACCGAATAGTACCGTCGGGACACAAAGGGTTAAGTAAAATTCACTGGTATATAAGTATAAAGAGAAGTGTTGAATGAACATACAGTGTGTTAATTAATTATCGTACCCGACGTCATCATTGCAAGTATGCAACCAGTATTGGTATTGCAATACGCAAATCGTGTATACTGTGATATTGGTTGCATACTTTCAATGATGACGTCGGGTACGATAATTAATTAACACACTGTATATTTAAGGGATAATTGTTGTGTAATGAATGAAATGTTTGATAAAGTGCTTAAGAAATGATTTAAATATAATTAAAAATTAAATAATTACAATTATTGTTACTTCTTATTTTTAGGTTTTATTAGAAGATGGTTTTTTCATACACTTTTTTGCTCCCCCAAAACAAAAACCACTATCAAAAAATGTTCTCTTCGTATTAGATACAAGCGGAAGTATGGAAGGAGCAAAAATCGAGCAATTAAAAACTGCGATGAAAAAAATTCTAAATGACTTAAAATCTGACGATAAATTTTCGTTGATAGAATTTAATTTCTTCGTAATTCATTTACACTTAGATGGTTCTCGTACAACTTACACAGGGGGAGATTTAAATCAATTAACACTTCGTCCCAGTGATTATGTGACTTCGGAAAATCGCGACGAAGCTGAACGTGTTGTCGCAAATTTCGCAGCCGGTGGAGGAACTAACATTTACGATTCGTTAATGTTTGCATTACACTCGGTGAATGAATTAAAAGGAAATCCGAATGAACCTCAACCGATTATTATATTTTTAACGGATGGTGATGCAACCGTAGGAAATACGAACCACAACGAAATTATTGAGGACGTTACAAAAAACAATAAATATAAAACCCCCATTTATTGTTTGTCTTTTGGAGCTGACGCGAAAAAGGATCTCTTAAAAAAATTGAGTTTGAGAAATTACGGGTTTTCTAGGCATATTTATGAAGGTGCTGATGCTGCAATTCAATTACACGATTTTTATAAAATGATTTCATTGCCGATTATGAATAATATAACATTTAAATATGTTTCTGATGCGAAAGAAGTTACAAAAACTACTTTTCCTATTATGTATAATGGATCGGAACTTGTTGTTACAGGAAAACTTGGTAAATAACAATAATAAGAGTTTATTGCCTCCACTAATAATAATAATAACAATAATTCCTCATTGCCACTATTTCCCCCCATCCATCTCCTCTCCTCAGCTTCTCAACACAACTCATCTTGTTTACTTCTCAACTCATTACTAGAGTTGATCAATCACTTCAATATCATCAGGTCGTGTCATTTCTTTCAGTTAGCATTTAACAAAAAATATATATCTATTCATCTACCTTGCGTTTATTCACGTCTGTGGGATTCCCAAACCGTTCGAGCTTTGTCAGAACCACCATGCACGATGAGAAAATTATCTCGGAGAATTTTCTAGTGAAGAATATAGAGATGAGAGATCTCTACTCATCACACAGTAACTACCAGCAGATGATGTAAAGACTCCCAGTCCTCTCTACTCCTTACACAACCTAAAAAGTCGTCTTAACAGAATAACAAGAATAGAGCTAACACTAGACCTCCGTTATATTGAGGTTTTTACTGCAACTTTTTCACTCTGTCTATCATTCAACTTAATAAAATGTGTTATTTTTGATATCTAGATAAAAATAATTTTGATACACTTCCAACAATAACAGCACAAAGTGCGACGGGTCCCATAAATTTAGTACCGGAAGTCAAAAAACCAGTAACGAAACTAGAAAGATTATGGGCTTATGTAACGATTCAACAATTACTTGAGGAAAAAGAAATAAGTGAAAATTCTGAAAACGAGGAAGAAATTAAACAGAAAGCGCTCGATATCGCTTTGAAATATAATTTTGTTACTCCAGTGAGTTCTATGGTAGTTGTTAAACCAAACGCGACGAATGATGTAGTCGATTTGATAGCCACTGGTAAAGATGAACCAATAGTATCCCTAGATATGAGTACCACTACAATAACACCAACAACAACAACTACTACTACTACCACCACTACCACCACTCAACGACCTAAAGAAAAAATTGTAAATGTTGAACAACTTAAACGAAAAGTTCCTTGGATAGATGAAATATTAAAAGATGATTTAATGAAAACGGAAAAAGGTAGACTAAAAATAACAAATAAAGATTAATTGTTAATTATTACTTTATTTTTCTTCCGTTTTTTCTAGGAACATATAAAATTGACATAAATAAACGAAGTCCAGATGATGTTACTTGCCCAACAACTCCGATGGGTGGAACAGGTTATTGCAAATTTATCCACGACTGTCCGGAAATGTTACGATTTTTAACAAACATGCACATTTTTGAGCAATACCAATGCGATATAGAAGGGTAATAGGTTAATTCAAGAATCATGTCGCTTAAAAATCGACAATTTGTGCAAATGTCGTTGTTTACCATCTATAAACTAAAGATAACCTAAAATCCAGAGGGTGGGTTGTAAATTCCGATATTTTCTAGTTCTAGGTCTGGTGTTAGTTGTTCATTTTAAGCTCCTAAAAACATATGCTCAATTCTCAAAGGTAACTGAGTTACAGCCAGTTAATGCATAAATTGATATCACGCACGGCTGTTGTGAAACAGCCATTTCTCAATGTTTAACATTTAACATTATTTGGTTGACGTGTCAACTAAGTTGTTGATAATGACACACATATTGACTCATGCAGAATATGCTGATATGGTGATTTGTTACGGTTTTTGCAATGCAAATGTTTCCTAACCGAGTGCTACCAGAATTAGAGAATCAAGAGCATTTACTCGAATATTCAACAAATTGTATGAAGCCGGTTCTGTTACAAATACAAGTACTTTCTGCTCATCTTGATGTTCCTCATGTAAAAGTATGGAGAACATTGCGTACTCATGGCTTGTATCTATTCCATGTTCAACCATTATAACACTTTGAACCAACAGACTTTGCCAGGAAATTGGCATTTTGTGTAAAATTCTCTTTGAATGTATGGTGTGGAATAATTAGCAATAACTTAATTGGACCTTTCGTACTACCCGAGCGTCTAACAGCGGACAGATATTTAGAGTTGAATGAGCTTCCAATACTGTTAGAAGATATTCCTTTGGCTACCAGAGCCAATATGTTCTTCCAGCATGATATTCAGGTATTGCAAGTGACGCAATACCTGAACCAAACCTTTGGCCAGCTCGGCCAACTGATTACTTAATCCGTTAGATTACAGAATGTGGGGATGGCTGAAAAGCGATGTTTATCAATTATAAGTAAACACGAGCTAATCACTCGTATTACGGCCAGTGCTGCACGAATCAAGGCACATCAGGATAAATTATGCAGCACAGTGCATGATATCTTCAACAGATCAGCCAAGTGCATCGAGTTAGGCGGTGGAATATTCGAACCCTTCCTTTACAGTCAGAATTTCGATATTTTATGTACATATAAATAAATCAGTTTATGCATTAACTAGCTGTATTTCAGTTAACTTTGAGAATTGAGCACATGTTTTTAGGAACTTTTCTGTTTAAAATGAACAAATTTATAACATATTTACGTATGTACTCATAAAACAGCCTGTATAATAAGCCTCAGTCTAAGTTTATGCGCATTACGTCATTGGCGACAAATAATATGGGGAAATAATTCAAATTTTTAAAATAATGTAACTGAATTACTTTAATATATTTAGTGTGGTATATAATTAACATATATATTAATTCAACTTAATTTTTGATACAAATTCACTTACCATAAAATAATTCAAGCAAACTAAAGTAATAATAATTTATTTATGTTATACTAGAGAAGACACTAACACTAAACATGACTTTGAGGTTGCGCGCGCAAACCACTTACGTTATGAAACACTCTCGCCCACAAACTAAAATCAAAGTATTGCCAAAAATTAAAGAGTAAACAAGATGCGACGCTTCCTGTCGGCACCTTTGATGTAGGGCTGCCATTTTTTAAGACCTTGAACGCTATGGACCTTTAAATTGGAATGATTCGCCATTGCCAGGACATTTAAATTGGAATGTCTGCTATCTTTTTTCAAAATTTGAGTTTCTAACTCTAACGTCTCATCTTGTATAGGTTAGAATATACCAACTGGCACATTTGTAGGTTAGGTTTGTTATTATGAGGACATTTAAATTGTGAGGACTTTTCAAAACTAGAGTTTCTCACTCTAGCGTCGCATTTTGTTTACTCTTTAATCTTTAGTATTGCAGTATAGGAACCTAGACAACCTTTTACTCCTATATTATAACCTTGGGTTAACATTGCTAGTGACGTCACAAAATGTGACGTGGCATTGATACTTTAATATAATTTTTCGGTATGTTCTACACTTTCTTTTTATTTTTAACGTGTTTTTTGGTCGATTTTTAAGCCACATGATGATTCTTGAATTTTTCTAGGGTAATAACCAAATTTTACATTAAAAAGAAAGATTATAACTTATATAATATATTTCCTTTTTAGGTATGCAGCAATTTGTTGTCCACCAACGAGACCAATTATACAATAATACATTGTTATTTTAAGATATGACTAGTTTTTTGTTGTAATTAATCCAAACTTTTTTTTTGCATTTTTTATATAAAATTACAGAAGTAATAAATTGTCTACTTAAAAAAGAAATTAGCTTACAGTTCTGTATGTATGTGTTTTTCCATTATATTAGGTGCATGTAAAAAGACACCTTCCATTGCTTGCCAATGAACAGATCCACTTGTTGATCTCACCCCTACAATTTCCATTTGCCCATTAATTGGTCTCCCAAAAGTTTTTCCTGATGCAGCCAAATATTGATTTGTATCAATATGTTTCAACATAATATTATCATCCCTTGTCCAAGAATCTCCTGGGCATACCACCATCCAATGATCCCCAGTGTCACCTTCACCTTTATCATCACCATAACAACTAATTTCTTGATTTCCACTTAAAGGACTCGAAAAATGATGCGAATGCAGATTTTTATTTGTTGTTATATGTTCTAACCTAAATTAAAATTAATTAATACCCCATAAAACCATTTTAATTTCATTATGAACCTAATTACTGATCCACATGGAATCGGTTTGCCTCTTTGACAAACCTCCCCTGTTCCAGCTTTAATCGCCCAATGACTATTCACATCTTCTTGAACTTCTGTTCCTGTTACAGATTGCTGACCACTTCCTGTACCATATTTCACATCATGAGAATGTAATCGTACTCTATAATCTGAATTCATTAATTTCACAACAGATCCACATGTTACATATCTTTGTTTAGCTCCTAAAATGTAAAAAAAAGTAAATCAACATTTAAATTGAATGCGGTTAAAACGACGTGGACCAATAGGAATCGTCCACACAACATCACACAGTTAAAAAGATGTTTTTTTTAATGAAATTATAAAAATGTTTAAATAATTTTTACCTGCGATCGTGGAAAAATTGCAAATGGTGTTAACGAGAAAGAATGAGATGAATAAATCGATGATATTCTTCATTTTTAAACGATTTTATCCGCTGGAGCTGGACGTGTCATATAAAACAGACGTGAATGTGGATTTGAAGTATTATTTGTGAAGTTAGGAACGAATCAGTGTTACCAAATTTGAAAAAATTATCGATTTTTAAATTAAAACATCGTACGCATAAAAAATCATAAAGTTTTGTATAAATAAATAATCTTTATTGAATACAAAAGGTGAATAAATTAAACTTTACTCTTAACAAACTTTGCAATAAACATACAGTGAATTCCACTTAAAATGCAATATACAAAAATATATTTCTATAGAAACTAGGCATAGGTACCACTTTGTCCCTATAATGACAATAAAATTGTCATTTTTCACATGAAATGCAACATGTTTGAATGTTTCTAGTTCTAGGTCAAGGTCCATTGAGGAAACATATTGTATAAGATTATCCTTGGTAAAGGCCTTGCTGTGACGTCATTGGAAGAATTGACATTTCTATGTTTTTATTTATACAGTGTGCAAAATACACTGTATTAAGAAGCAATATACAAAAATATAAAAAAAAAAGATATAAAATAAAATCAAAAAAATATTAAAATATAAAGCGAAATATTAACGTTTATAATTTTATTATTGTTAGGTTATGCAACTTGACTCGGTTACCATGGTGATTAAGATCCAAATATTGCAGGTGCTTGTCAAAATTGAAATTGATTTTCAGTCTTTTTAAGGAAAAAGTCTTATTTAATTGGTTTAAAAGGCTGTATTTAACTCAAAATTGGGTTATCTAGGGTATTATAAACAAGGTAAGTGGATTAAATCAAGAAAAGATATTTTTAATTAAGTTAGAATTGATAAAAAAATCGGAATAAAATTTTATTATTTTAAGGTTATCCAACTTGACTCGGTGATTATGATCCAAATATTGCAGTTGCTTGTCAAAATTGAAGTTGAATTTAAGTTTTTTTAATGAAAAACATAATTAATTGGATTTAAAGGTTGTATTTAATTCAAAATGGGTAAACGGATGAAATTATAAGCAAGGTAAGTGGATTAAATTAAAAAAAATTTTTTTAGATCAGTTACAATGCACAAGAATTTAGGGTTAAATAACAATTAAAACTAGAACTAACACTAGTCGTAGAACTAGAAAGTTTTAGGTTTAGTCGGGCGTCTTAGACAAGAACTTAGAAAAGTCTGAAGACGCACGGTTAAACCCGAATATTTCTAGTTCTAGGTTTAATTTTACACTAGCACTATCGGGAAGTCGGGTTTAGTCGTGAAAAAAACTTTCAGTTGTCAATGTCAACTTTAATTTTATTATTATATTCGTAGTTTTTATAAAATAACCTTTAAAGTGAGTTCAAACGCATTTATCTCAAAAAACCAAAAAGTTCGAACTTTCAATTTTTGATTTTGACATATTTGTAAACTTCATAAAAAATCCTTTAAAATGAGTCCAAACTCGACATATTTAACTTTAATATTATTGGAAATACAATCACTTCCGGTTTGAAACGTCAACGTTAATTTTGACATATTTGTCATCTTCATTAAAGAACCTTTAAAATGAGTCCAAAGATGACTTATCTCAAAAAACAAAAAAGTTAGAATAAAAAACGTTAAACCCGAAGTTTGCAACAATGAAGATAGCAATTTAATTTTTAAATATTAATACCAACCTTAATTTTTTTTTATTATTATATTTTTGTTTTTGTGACAAATATGACATTTTATAAAAATTAAGAATATGTCAAAATGACATTTCAAATCGGTTGCTTATATTTTGACTAATATTGGAATTAAACGTATCATGTTTGGGCTCATTTTAAAGGATTTTTCACGGCTATTACAAATATGTCAAAATTGACATTGACATTTCTAACCGGAAGTTGACCATAACTTCATTAATATTGAAGATAAATATGTCGTGTTTGTACTCATTTTAAAGGATTTTTAATGAAAATTACAAATATGTCAAAATTGAGGTTGACATTTTAAATCTGAAGTTAGTTATCATATAATAGACAAATGGATACATTTATGATGTATTCTTTATTAAAAAAAACCTTAAAATGAGTCCAAACATGATGTTGCTAGATATCACTATGTTGAATATTTTTATTGCAATAAAACTAGAACTAACACAAGACCTATAACTAGAATCATTCGGGTTTAGCCGTCTTGAGAGACGTGCGGCTAAACCCGAATGTTTCTAGTTTTCGGTCTAGTGTTAGTACCAGTTTTACACTAGCACTATCACTAGAACTAACACAAGACCTAGAACCAGTCCTTTATCAGTCTTGCCCATGGCCATGTTATTTCTTGAGGTGAGGCTCCTCCTTTTTGTACTAAAAATTCTTTTATGCGATTGATGGTTACAGACATGCCTTCAAAAGCCATACATCCCGTGAGTTCACCTGACTTCATCCCAATAGCTTTTTTTGCTTTGTTGAACCAACTGATCACAGTTTTGATCTTAGTAGGTCATCTCAATGTCAGCCTGCCTGAGGCGATTTATTGGAATCTCGAGCGCTTGAGCCGGGAAACAATACATATACGTATAAAGAGTTGCATAATTCGCAAAAAATAATCCATTTATAAAGTTGTGCAAATTTCATATAAAAAATAAAGTTGTGTGGAAAACTATAGATGTTCCAAATTATCGTACGATAATGAATATCAATGTATTATTGTATACGAATTGAAATAATTGTATGTATAATAATTATTACGTTTGGCAACACTGGAACGAATCCATTTTGACATAATTATAGTGATGTTCTACTAAACTTTTTTAATTAAATCAAAACAAATTGAAATAATTAATTATTTTATAAAAATCGTTTTAATTAAGTGAGAAATATGTAATACTACATTTTTAACCAAAGACAGAAAGTAAAAATTAATAAAAAAAAAAGCTTAAAATGTAGTGTCAATCGAACCCAAATCGATTGTATAACCATAACCTCAATTACGAATCTGTCAAAATCTCCCTGCAAAAATTTTAGTAAAATTTCCATAGAAACCGTTTTAAAATCATGTCTGCAGTTGCAAAAGGAAACTATTTGAGTCGAATGTGGAGTACTTCTCCTGAAATAGTGGGGAGTTCGTTTATGGCTGCAATAGGGATTGGTTTGGCAGGATTGGGGCTTTACACTTATTACAGCAAGGATGGTGATAATAGGAGATACAAATTCCAATATACCGTAATAAGGGATGATGATCCTCGTGCAGCTAAAGTGCGCAAAGATTAAATGAAAAGGGAATGTCTTAGAAGGTTGAAATGTAAATAAAAAGTATAGAATAAAATTCTTAATTGTCTATTATATTTCTTTTTCTGTTCCATTTTTATCACTGACTATTTTTATGTTAAAACAGAGATAATACAGCAAATTTTGAAAAAAAAATATTAACAATAAAAACACCTGCAGCAATTAATAAAAATAAAAAATAAATTTGCTATATCCTTTTAATTTCTCATGTAACTTAGGCTTACGTACGAAATTTACAGTATCAATAATGTTAGACTTAGAATTAATTAAATTTATCTGATGCGGTATACAATTTATGTATTGTAGATCTTTTTCTCTGGGTACATATTTACAAAAAATTGTTGTTTGGAACATTAACACCATGAGAAAAAGGGGCTTTTATCTTGGAAACGTTGTGTAAAATTAAAAAATCTTGATGTACTTTGACTGTGAGACCTAAAAAAATTTAAATTAATTGATTTGTATTAAAAAAAAAAAAAAATTACTTTTCAACAACAACAGCCGGCATTTGTACCAATTGTACTGGTGATTTTCCATCTTTCAAAGCTTGGGTAAGATTTAAAATTTGCCCCCTCATCACAGACATTTGCCTTTCAAATAATCTCTGATCAAAACCTTTATCTTGTTTGAATAACAAATGCAAATCATCGCAAAGGTCTTGCACAAAATTCATATCGGAAAGTGGAGGCAACACCAATTCCCGAATTTCCCTACTAAATGGTACTTTAGCTTGTGGTAACCAAGCCCAATGATAAGGATAAGCCCTCCAGCTATCCGGATGTTTATACGGAAACGCCAACCCATTATCAATGGCTGCTATTTTAATTTCAGGTAACTGAACCAAATTCCATTCATTAGTTTCTATCGTTGTTGTAGCTTCCACAAAACCAGCGTTAGCTAAAGCTGCAGTTGCGGAATTATTTAACAAATTATTTGTTGTTGTTGTTGCGGTGCCATTTTGATTTGTTTGGATACTGGGTTGATCGTATTTTATTAACCAATTATCATTACCACGATCGGTATTACGAATGATATAATCAAGAACGACCAGACGTTCAAATTGTAATTGGAATTTCTTTGCCATCCGAGTTGGTAAAGGTTCCACCTCAAATCGTCTTAACCAATAATCAGCATCCTTATAACCATCTACAAATAATTGGAACGAACCACACTACAATTATTAACACATCATTAGTGATATATATTTTTATTTAGAAAACATTTACCTTTGGTAGTAAGCCTATCCTGTTAAAACGGAGCCCCACATTTGGGAATTGTTCCATTATCGCACGCTTCATTCTTGCTTTTTGTCTATCAATCCGTAGATAATTAAATGTTTCTGATACTAATTTAACAACCTTTAATTAAAATATAAAGTTAAATTTTAGGTTAAAAATTTCTTGGTTATAAATGACATGTTTTAATTGTAAATCTCCATAGCAACATCACTTAGCCAACATTATAACAATGAAAATCACTAATTGTTGAATTTATGAATTTAATCTTAATTTATATCATTTATTTATGATAAAATTAACTCACCCTAGTTTTTGGTACGATATTTAAATTGAGCTTGGTATCGACAAGGGAAGCGGCTGCTTCTGATAGATAACCTTGATTCGGTATCAAACAGGAGCGCCCAAAACAGCAAGGACAACACAACTTGTGCATCCATTTCGTCCATTTGGGGTTAAGACGGCCATACGGTTCTTCATCTTTCGGCTTGAATACCGCAATAACTTTCTATAAAAACATTAATTAATTTACAACAAATTTACATTGAAACGTTTATAACCAGCGCCATCTATTGACTAGTACTATGTGGTGTTTATGAAAATGACTTTCTAATCGCGAATAATACTTAATACTTTCAAAATTGAGCCAATTGGCTCAATTTTAATATTTATCATTTTTCAAATACAGTTAAGGCATGTTTTAAGCCGTTTGAATTGTGGGTTCTTAAAAAACTAAATTAAAATTTGTACATAGGTGGCGCTACTTAAAAAAGAACTGCCAAATTGTAACATTACTATTTAAATTTTATATATAGAATATTTATTAGAATATATATTTAGAACATATTCATAATATGTTTTTAGTATTACAAAAGCACATAATTTTTATCGTTACAAAATTCATTTTTCCAAATGTTGGTAAAGTAGTGTTCTAATATTTTAGTATTGTCATATGTCATTTTGAAAACTTTATAAGGCTCAATTAAAGTGTAATTAAACACTACTTGCTGGTAGTTCAAGCTCAAAAAAGCTCACCGACTAATGAAAATGTTATCAACATTCTTTAAAACTATTGTGTAACATATTGAATCATGTTATTTTTTCATGATGAATCATTGCAGAGTTAAAGTGCAATATTGCACAAGAGAATTGCTTACTCAAAAGATATTAATGGTAACTTGCAATAAATTAGAGATAAACAGTTTTAATTGTTGTTATAATGCAATAAATTCTTTCCCAGAAGTATAATAACTAAAATTTCCTTCTTTTCCACAGAAATTTTAATCACATTGAATAAATTTAATGTTTATAAACTAACAATTAAGGTTTATACGTTTATAAATAGAATAAATCTCAGTAAATTTATGTCATATCTAAATCGATAATGAAAGAGAACCCAACCACGATAACAAACAAGTACTGTGTGGTATTTATAGAAGATACAGAATAAATTGAGTGGATTTAGAAGAGATTAAAGGTCAAAACAATAGCAGATAAGTTTTTACTACAAAAAACTAAAAATTTGTTTCACATACTGTTTTTCTTTTTAATCATAATATATAATTAAATTGATCTGTTACAGATAATAAATGAGATAAGATAAGAAAATTTGAATAGAAATCATTGGCATCTCATAAAGGACAACAAAATCAATAACAAAAATGTAGGAATGTTCCCAAATGTACAAATTAATGCCTTAAAATTTGTATATCCCCTTAGAAAATTCCGATTTCTTTACGCTTTTGTGTTGAATTCACTTTTAAAAGTAAAACAAAGCAAATTTGAACTGTAAAGCGTTAAAAAACAACGTAAATAAACTTACTCCAGAGGTACTTTTAACAAAGTATGATCCACTAGATCCTTGTGAAATCCTCTCTGGAAATATCCCATTATCGATGGCAACCTCAGATTGCCACACAAGATCACTAAAAGCTGGATCATCTAGAAAAACAAATAAATGCAAATAACGTTTATTAGTGATAAGCTATAAAGATAAACCTGGAAATTGATTAAAAGAGACGTCAAGTCCGCCAAGTAGCGGCTGAGACTCTCTGTTAACGTTTGGGGAATCCAATGCTGGTTCGAAGGAAACCTCTGGGACTAATCTGATATCTTCGTCCTCGTCCCCGCTATCCGTTAACACGCAATTTGCTCCTCCAGAAACACCCGTATTGACTAAAATAGGCACGGTTTCACTCATCACACGCGCTCAACCCCGCTGGTTTGCCCACCACCGCTCACAGCACACGACCACCGTTCAGCATAAGCGACGGCATATAACAAAATAGACATAAATGAACCCAACAATAACAAAGAGGAAATATGCGCCGAATTCCCGAGAGATAGATACCCTAACCTAACATTTTATTTATTTGCGTGAGATTTTGATTAAATTTAAAGTTATCAAGACATCTTTATAGACGAAAGGACTAGAATTTTTTTTTGCGTGCGTTGCTGAACGGTAATTAGAGCTTTTTTTGCGGGTTCTTTTTTACATACGATGGGACACAACAATCGGGCACAATTGACAGATAAACTGTCAGATGGATTTTGTAATTTAATTAGGGAATACGTCATTTTAGAAACGTCACAACATTTTCAAAAATCTTTGTTAATTATTTCATTGATTACTTTAAAACATTACTTAAGATTTTTTATATAAGAAAACTTTAAATAAAATTATATTTAAATTTCAAATTTTTAGAAAATCAACAATTTGTATTGTACTTAAGTATAAATTGTTAGGTTGGTAATAACTTGATGAAACATCATTTAATTCATGACTCATTTTTTCATTTTTATTTCATTATTAAAAACGAAATCATAATTAAAACTCAATTAGATCTATATTTGAACATAAAAATTTTATAAATAATTTTATAAATGATCCAAGTCATCAATAAACCACCAAATCATTTCTGCCAACCCTAACAAAATTAATTTTGACATTTACTATTTACAAACTAACCTAACTTTTTTAAAATAAAAACGATGGAAATCGGAGAATTATTATCATTTAAGGTGAAGATTAAACAATATTTTAATCGTAGTTTTTTAAAATTCGTTATTTTTTAAGCCTTCAAAAGCGATAAAACGTCCCGTTGATGGTGAAGATGACGACGAGGATGAAGTCGAGAAGCAAAAACGGATGCGAAGAATCGCTAGAGCTAAAGCAAATCAAATGACCAGACCAACTTCGCCTACACCTTCCATACAAACTCTCGATCAAATAACAGAGGAGGAAAGACAAGAAATTCTTAAATTTGTTGAGACAGAACAAACGGAAGGTGAAGTTATCGATGAAGCTACTATAAAGAAGATTGTTTTGAACTTTGAGAAGCGGTGTCTTAAAAATCGTGAGATGAGGATTAAATTTCCGGATAGTCCTGAGAAATTTATGGAAAGTGAAGTTGAATTACACGAGATTTTACAAGAAATGAGAGTTTTAGCCACAGCTCCTGATTATTATCCATTATTGGTGAAATTAAATGTTATTCCAAGTTTACTCGAATTATTATCACATGATAACACTGATATTGCAGTAAGTTTATAATTTATTTAAAAAAATAATGGTATAAGTAATTCAAAAATCATCATGTTGCTTAAAAATCAACAATATTTTTCTAAATCACTCAAGTAAAAAGTTACAAATAAAAAAAATCGTGTAAAACTTACCAAAAAATGTGACGTCATCGACCCTGCTAACCATATGAATAGCTTATTACTGAAACAACTTAAGTTAAACACTTTTTATAACTTTTCAGGAAACGAAAAAAATATTTCATATGAAAACTGTTACTTTTTAGAACATTTTAATACTTAAAAAACTTCTTAAAAATTGACTTAAGTTGTTTTTTATATAAATAAGTACATTTATGAATTCAAAATTTTATTTTACATGAAAGAACAAAAGTTTTCATTAACATAAGACACAGTTACTTAGTTTTGGCCCCTTGACCTTGGTATTTTCAAGAATTTTTTTGTAAAATTGTTTATAACCATCTTCTACCCATTGAAGCAATGTTTTGATATTTTTAAGCTGTGTTTCTAAGATTGGTAAGCTTTTTGTTTTGGCAATTGTATTTGGATATTTTTTGCTCTTTTGGGATGAGTCAGCTTAAAGGTGTTCCAAATGAATCCATTAATATTTCATTAACCTTAACAACGCCAGGATTTGTTGTTTCATGAACAAAGTGGTGAAATTTTGATTCTGAAAATGGAGTTCTTTAATTTCCAGAATGTTTTTCAGTTTCATCAGAAGCACATGTAGTCTAGTAGTATTTTGGCCACCAGTATTTATAATCTGTGATATCTTCTGTTACAATTTCTGGGGTAATACTGCTGCACTTTTTGAAACCTTCCACTTTCAGTTAAGGCCATGCATGCTCTTATTATGCAGTGATTCTTGTTTTGCACTGGACAATTATCAGAAAACAATTGGAGTTCTTTTACATCAAAAGTAACATACTGTTCTATATGCTCCATTATGAATGTAGTGACTTCATTTTCTGGCCTTTTGCAGCTATACCCTCATGGTAAATATAAAAAAAAGATTTGTCGTTTTTTACATTCTTCTGCAGTCGTTTTTAAAGCATTGTAGAACTTCTTCGCTCGTCTTTCATGAATCAGGTTTTCAGCAACAGCGGCTCCTTTTGCATTATCTCCTAGAGATGGACTCTTGATTTTGAGGGCTAATTCCTCACGCTTTTTTGCAGGCTCTTTAGCATTTCTAAGCGGCTGTATATAAACTTATGTATCAGCACACAAGTTCTTTCAGTACCAAACAACGGGGAATGGTCGAAACTGTATGTTTACATGCATAACTTAAAATGGCCAAAAAGTGACTTAGGTTGTTTCAGCAATAAGCAAGAACTAACACTAGACCTAGAACTAGAAACATTCGGGTTAAGTCGTGAAAAAAAATTTCAGTTGTCAATGTCAACTTTAATTTTATTATATTCGTAATCTTCATAAAATACCCTTTAAAATGAGTCCAAACATGACGCATTTCTTTCAAAAAACCAAAAAGTTCGAACTTTCAGCTATTTATTTTGACATATTTGTCAACTTCATGAAAAATCCTTTCAAATGAGTCCAAACTCGACATATTTAACTTTAATATTAATGGAAATACAGTCACTTCCGGTTTGAAACGTCAACGTCAATTTTGACATATTCATTAAAAAAACCTTTAAAATGAAAAATTAAAAACATTAAACCCTAAGTTAGCAACAATGAAGATAGCAATTTAATTTTTAAATTTTAATACCAACCTTAATTTTTTATTTTTTTTATACAAATTTTAAGACATTTTATAAAAATTAAGAATATGTCAAAATGACATTGACATTTCAAACCGGAAGTTGCTTATATCTCGAGTAATATTGGAATTAAACGTATCATGTTTGGACTCATTTTAAAGGATTTTTCACGACGATTACAAATATGTCAAAATTGAGGTTGATATTCTTAACCGGAAGTTGACCATAACTTCATTAATATTGAAGATAAATATGTCGTGTTTGTACTCATTTTAAAGGATTTTTAATGAAGATTACTAATATGTCAAAATTGAGGTTGACATTTTAAACTTGAAGTTAGTTATCATATAATAGACAAATGGACAACTTCATGGTGATCTTTCATGATGTATTCTTTATTAAAAACACCTTTAAAATGAGTCCAAACAAGACGCACTTATCTCAAAAAACAAAAAAGTTAGAATAAATAATATTAATCCCGAAGTTAGCAACAATGATGATAGCAATTTAATTTTTAAATATTAATACCAACCTTAATTTTTCATTTTTTTTAATAATATTTTTGTTTTTGTTACAAATATTAAGACATTTTATAAAAATTAAGAATATGTCAAAATGACATTGACATTTCAAACCGGAAGTTGACCGATAACTTCATTCATATTTAAGATAAATATGTCGTGTTTGTACTCATTTTAAAGGATTTGTAATGAAGATTATTAATATGTCAAAATTGAGGTTGACATTTAAACCTGAAGTTAGTTATCATATAGTAAAAGTTTTATAACTGAAGTTAATCAGTGTTAGTCACTGATGAATCACTGAGGAATCGTCAATCAAAGTGACATTTATCAATTACAAATTGTCACTGTTAATAAACTATCTACAAAATGCCTTATATTAAGAAAAAGGAAAAGAAGCAGCAAACGTAAAACGCCAAATTTGTGCTATTTACAATACGAATTGCGTCTGGTGCAATTTAGCTGAAATTCTTGGCGTTGCAAAAAGAGCAGTTGAGATGGGTAAAAAATCAAGAAGAAGAGAAACCAAGAGAAGGAAAACATAAAATAAAAATTACAGATTATCTTTATCTCGCGAAGTCAAGTCGTTGCACTTTCATTGCTGCCAGTAGCCAAATGTTTATCTTATTAGATGTACTAGTGGGATTGATTTATCATGAATTAAGAAGGGGTCATTTAAAAGAGAAGAGGCTAATGAGTTTGTTAGCCAATGCTTAAGGAGAGCTCAACATAGCTAATATTCAATGGTCATTGATAATGCTCCTTGTCATTGTAGTGTTGAAGAACAAGAATTTTTTTATCAGAAACTTGTAAGGCTTATAAAAGACTTATAGTATTTTGGAGGGAAATGACCAAATGACTTGTCTCAAACAGAGTACAGAATTCGAAAATTAGAAAATATAATTAGGAACAATATTCCAAAAATTAATGTAACTAACTGTAACAGGTTTATAGCCAGAATTCAAAAGCACATCACCTCTATTTTAAACATGGAGGATGTCATCTTTTGAGCTTACAATATTGTTTATTACCAAGTATAAAATTATGCGTTTAAAACGTTAATCAAGAATCAAAGATTGTTTTATTAAAGTATTGAATGCCAATTTGATGTTGATTAATGTCATTTTGAGTTTGATTAATGTCATTTTGAGTTTGATTAATGCCAATTTGATTATGATAGTTACCAAATTGGTTTTGTTTAATGTCAATTTGAATTAAAAAGGTATAGTTTTAGGTCTAATGTTAGTTCTAGTGACAGTGGAAAAACAAGGGTGTTTCATTCATAAATATACGTTGTAATCTCACTCAATTTACTGAAAATAACCTTACTTTCATGATGATTCTTGATTTTTCAAAAAAATTTTAATAATTGTTTTAAATTAGGTTGCAACAATAGAATTAATTCAAGAAATGAGTGACGTTGATATTTTACACGAATCAGAAGAAGGAGCTGAAGCTCTTATTGAATCATTATTAGAGCACCAAGTTATCGCTTTATTAGTACAAAATTTAGATCGTTTGGATGAAAACGTAAAAGAAGAAGCTGATGGCGTTCATAACACACTCGCGATCGTTGAGAATTTAACCGAATTACGTACCGAAATTTGCAACGAAGCTTCCAAACAAGGTTTATTACAATGGTTATTAAAACGTTTAAAACTAAAAGTACCTTTCGATCCAAACAAATTATACGCCAGCGAGTTATTATCAATTTTGCTTCAAGATAACAATTCAAATCGATTGGCTTTAAGCGAACTCGATGGAATTGACACTTTATTACAACAATTAGCGTTTTATAAACGTCACGATCCCTCGAATGCGGAAGAATTTGAGTTAATGGAAAATTTATTTAATTGTTTGTGTAGCTCATTAATGGCGGTTACGAATCGTGATAAATTTTTGAAAGGGGAAGGTTTGCAATTGATGAATTTGATGTTAAGAGAAAAGAAAACGTCAAGGAATGGATCACTAAGGGTGTTAGATTATGCAATGTCTGGACCTCACGGACGTGATAATTGCAATAAATTCGTTGATATTTTAGGATTAAGAACAATTTTTCCTCTTTTCATGAAAACCCCAAAGAAAAATCGTAAAAAAGTATTATCTGCTGAAAAACACGAGGAACATGTCACCTCGATTATTGCGTCAATGTTAAGAAATTGCCGAGGTTCTCAAAGACAAAGATTAATTAGTAAATTCACCGAAAATGATCACGAAAAAGTCGATAGATTGATGGAATTACATTTTAAATACTTAGAAAAAGTCGAAGCACTTGATAATGCAATTGATGAAGATCAAGATAATGAGGATGATTTTTATATGAAGAGACTTGAAGGTGGGTTGTTCACGTTGCAATTGGTTGATTATATTATTGTTGAAGTTTGCGCCGCGGGCCCTGCTTCTATTAAACAGCGGGTTTGTCAAGTTTTAAATTTACGAGGGGCATCTTTAAAAACAATTCGTCATGTTATGAGGGAGTATGCTGGAAATTTGGGCGAAGAAGGAAGTAAAGAGTGGAGAGATCAAGAGCAACAACACATTTTACACCTCGTCGATAAATTTTAAAATTAATATGGAGTTTCCTTGTAATGATGTAATGTACAAAGAATAAGAATGATTAATAAATGTCATAAGTAATAAAATAAAAATTGTTTATTAAAAGTGGTTTAGGTTAAACATTTTCAAAAAGTTAATTAAATTATCATATATACAGAGTGGCCCAAAATTNATTTTTTGTAAAATTGTTTATAACCATCTTCTACCCATTGAAGCAATGTTTTGATATTTTTAAGCTGTGTTTCTAAGATTGGTAAGCTTTTTGTCTTGGCAATTGTATCTGGATATTCTTTGCTCTTTTGGGATGAGTCAGCTTAAAGGTGTTCCAAATGAATCCATTAATATTTCAGTGACTTTAACAACGCCATGATTTTTTGCTTCATGAACAAAGTGGTGAAATTTTGATACTGAAAATGGAGTTCTTTAATTTCCATAATGTTTTTCAGTTTCATCAGAAGCACATGTAGTCTTGTAGTATTTTGGCCACCAGTATTTATAATCTATGATATCTTTTGTTGCAATTTCCTTTACAGTAAAAGCGTTTTTGACACTAGAAGTTATAATAATTTCAGTGAATGTATACAAAATCTCTATGATAGGGTAAAAAAGAATGTCCTCACAAGGGGTAATACTGCTGCACTTTTTGAAACCTTCCACTTTCAGTTAAGGCCATGCATGCTCTTATTATGCAGAGATTCTTGTTTTGCCCTGGACAATGGCCTTTTGCAGCTACACCCTCATGGTAAATATAAAAAAAGGATTTGTTTGTCTTTAAGTCGTGAATGCAGAACACACTTAACTTAATTCTTGTACAGGGATCTGTGGCAGTTGTAGATTCTGGAAATAATCAAATGCAATAGCTGCAAGATCTTTTTCAAAGAAGCTTTTCAGCAATTTCGGCTCTTTTTGCATTATCTCCTAGAGATGGACTCTTGATTTTGAGGGCTAATTCCTCACGCTTTTTTGCAGGCTCTTTAGCATCTCTAAGCGGCTGTGTATAAACTTATGTATCAGTACATAAGTTCTTTCACCACCAAACAACGGGGAGTGGTCGAAACTGTATGTTTACATGCATAACTCAAAATGGCCAAAAAGTGACTTAGGTTGTTTCAGCAATAAGCAAGAACTAACACTGGACCTAGAACCAGAAACATTCGGGTTTAGTCGTGAAAAAAAATTTCAGTTGTCAATGTCAACTTTAATTTTATTATATTCGTAATCTTCATAAAATAACCTTTAAAATGAGTCCAAACATGACGCATTTCTTTCAAAAAACCAAAAAGTTCGAACTTTCAACATTTAATTTTGACATATTTGTCAACTTCATAAAAAATCCTTTAAAATGAGTCTAAACTCGACATATTTAACTTTAATATTAATGGAGATACAATCACTTCCGGTTTGAAACGTCAACGTCAATTTTGACATATTTGTCATCTTTATTAAAAAAAAACCTTTAAAATGAAAAATTAGAAACATTAAACCCTAAGTTAGCAACAATGAAGATAACAATTTAATTTTTAAATTTTAATACCAACCTTAATTTTTTATTTTTTTTATTATATTTTTGTTATTGTGACAAATTTTAAGACATTTTATAAAAATTAAGAATATGTCAAAATGACATTGACATTTCAAACCGGAGGAGTTGGTTATATCTCGAGTAATATTGGAATTAAACGTATCATGTTTGGACTCATTTTAAAGGATTTTTCACGACGATTACAAATATGTCAAAATTGACGTTGATATTCTTAACCGGAAGTTGACCATAACTTCATTAATATTGAAGATAAATATGTCGTGTTTGCAAGGTCTATAGAACATAAGGTTACCCAATACCGATTCTCCTCCTCTGAGAGGCAAGGTGGGTCAGTGACGTAGCTGGTTCTATGAACAACACAACGCCCTTGTTTATAGATATATCTATAAACAAGGACAACACGATGCGAGGTTTAAATATTTTATATAGACTGTACCACAGTATAGGCACGTATAGGCTATCTTTTATTCTGACTGTATCGAACCAGTGACGTCAATTTGCGGGGTAATAATCGATACTACAGAGGCATAGGGAATGAGGTAACCTTATGTTCTATAAACCTTGTCGTGTTTGTACTCTTTTTAATGATTACTGATATGTCAAAATTGAGGTTGATATTTTAAACCTGAAGTTAGTTATCATATAATAGACAAATGGACAACTTCATGGTGTTCTTTCATGATGTATTCTTTATTAAAAAAACCTTTAAAATGAGTCCAAACAAGACGCACTTATCTCAAAAAACAAAAAAGTTGGAATAAAAAACATTAAACCCAAAGTTAGCAACAATGAAGATATTTAAATATTAATACCAACCTTAATTTTTAATTTTTTTTTATTATATTTTTGTTTTTGTGACAAATATTAAGACATTTTATAAAAATTAAGAATATGTCAAAATGACATTGACATTTCAAACCGGAAGTTGACCGATAACTTCATTAATATTGAAGATAAATATGACGTGTTTGTACTCATTTTAAAGGATTTTTAATGAAGATTACTAATATGTCAAAATTGAGGTTGACATTTAAACCTAAATCATATAATAAAAGTTTTATAACTGAAGTTAATCAGTGTTAGTCACTTTTCCGCACATTCTTGTTATTTTTAATCGTCAATCAAAATGACATTAATCAATTACAAATTGTCACTGTTAACAAACTATCTAGAAAATGCCTTATATTAAGAAATAGGAAAAGAAGCAGCAAACGTAAAACGCCAAATTTGTGCCATTTACAATACGAATTGCATCTGGTGCAATTTAGCTGAAATTCTTGGCGTTGCAAAAAGAGCAGTTGGGATGGGTAAAAAATCAAGAAGAAAAACCAAGAGAAGGAAAACATAAAATAAAAGTTACAGATTATCTCAGATTATCTTTATCTCGCGAATCAAGTCGTTGCACTTTCATTGCTGCCAGTATCCAAATGTTCATCTTATCAGATGTACCAGTAGCTTGGGATTGATTTATCATGAATTAAGAAGGGGTCATTTAAAAGAGAAGAAGCTAATGAGTTTGTGAGCCAATGCTTAAGGAGAGCTCAACATAGCTAATGATCAGTGGCTTTAGTCATTGATAATGCTCCTTGTCATTGTGGTGTTGAAGAACAAGAATTTTTTCATCAGAAACTTGTAAGGCTAAGTCCTTATAGTATTTTGGAGGGAAATGACCAAATGACAAGAAAACTTGTCTCAAACAGAGATATTCCCAAAAATTAATGTAACTAACTGTAACAGGTTTATATCCGGAATTTAAAAGCACATCATCATTTTAAACATGGAGGTTGTCATCTTTTGAGTTAACAATATTGTTTATTACCAAGTATAAAATTATGCGTTTAAAACGTTAATCAAGAATCAAAGATTGTTTTATTAAATTATTTAATGCCAATTTGATGTTGATTAATGTCATTTTGATTTTGATTATGACAGCTGCCAAATTGGTTTTTTTTAATGTCAAATTGATTTGAAAAGGTATAGTATAGGTCTAATGTTAGTTCTAGTGACAGTGGAAAAACAAGGTGTTCCATCCATAAATATACGTTGTAATCTCACTCAGTTTACTGAAATTAACTTTACTTTCATGACTTTACATGATGATTCTCGAATTTACCAAAAAAATTTAATAATTATTTTAAATTAGGTTGCAACAATAGAATTAATTCAAGAAATGAGTGACGTTGATATTTTACACGAATCAGAAGAAGGAGCTGAAGCTCTTATTGAATCATTATTAGAGCACCAAGTTATCGCTTTATTAGTACAAAATTTAGATCGTTTGGATGAAAACGTAAAAGAAGAAGCTGATGGCGTTCATAACACACTCGCGATCGTTGAGAATTTAACCGAATTACGTACCGAAATTTGCAACGAAGCTTCCAAACAAGGTTTATTACAATGGTTATTAAAACGTTTAAAACTAAAAGTACCTTTCGATCCAAACAAATTATACGCCAGCGAGTTATTATCAATTTTGCTTCAAGATAACAATTCAAATCGATTGGCTTTAAGCGAACTCGATGGAATTGACACTTTATTACAACAATTAGCGTTTTATAAACGTCACGATCCCTCGAATGCGGAAGAATTTGAGTTAATGGAAAATTTATTTAATTGTTTGTGTAGCTCATTAATGGCGGTTACGAATCGTGATAAATTTTTGAAAGGGGAAGGTTTGCAATTGATGAATTTGATGTTAAGAGAAAAGAAAACGTCAAGGAATGGATCACTAAGGGTGTTAGATTATGCAATGTCTGGACCTCACGGACGTGATAATTGCAATAAATTCGTTGATATTTTAGGATTAAGAACAATTTTTCCTCTTTTCATGAAAACCCCAAAGAAAAATCGTAAAAAAGTATTATCTGCTGAAAAACACGAGGAACATGTCACCTCGATTATTGCGTCAATGTTAAGAAATTGCCGAGGTTCTCAAAGACAAAGATTAATTAGTAAATTCACCGAAAATGATCACGAAAAAGTCGATAGATTGATGGAATTACATTTTAAATACTTAGAAAAAGTCGAAGCACTTGATAATGCAATTGATGAAGATCAAGATAATGAGGATGATTTTTATATGAAGAGACTTGAAGGTGGGTTGTTCACGTTGCAATTGGTTGATTATATTATTGTTGAAGTTTGCGCCGCGGGCCCTGCTTCTATTAAACAGCGGGTTTGTCAAGTTTTAAATTTACGAGGGGCATCTTTAAAAACAATTCGTCATGTTATGAGGGAGTATGCTGGAAATTTGGGCGAAGAAGGAAGTAAAGAGTGGAGAGATCAAGAGCAACAACACATTTTACACCTCGTCGATAAATTTTAAAATTAATATGGAGTTTTCTTGTAATGATGTAATGTACAAAGAATAAGAATGATTAATAAATGTCATAAGTAATTAAATAAAAATTGTTTATTAAAAGTGGTCTAAAATGTACATGGAACATTTAACACGTCAGAGAAGAAAAACATATATGTATAGTGACATAATATAACCAAACCATGTCATTCATTATTTATCTTTGAAATTTTACATAATCGGAGGTGAGGTTACCAATAATAATTATAGAAATTTAATTTTGTATTAATAAAATGTTGTAAATATGATACAATTCATTATGTATTCTTGACCGTTTACGTTCTTTATTGTATTTAATCCATGTAAAGTCGATACAAAGTAATTTAATAGAATTTCGACAGTGACATAACCTCAAATTACATTTTTCATTAATTTCTTATTGTAATTCATGTTTGTCCGGTTGAAACTATTGAAAACGATAATCTTAGCATGTCAAGAACGAAAATCATCCATCATATGGGAGTTTTGATGAAGAATTGGACGAAAATCCGTAGATTAAATATTTGAATATTTTTTTAAGCTGAACGTTGAAATCTAAAAGAAAATGTTCCGAAATCAGCACAAACAAAGTTAAAGCAACAAAACTACAACATTTCATACATAAATATTATTAAAATAGAAATTTTAATAATTTTTGATAAAATTTAATTGGTGACATTTGACATTTCAAAGTTGGCAATATCGGAGAAATTTAAATTACGAATTTCAAGTTGAAGAATTTAACCAATCAGAAGACGTTATTTGAAACGTTTTAGCAATAAACAAACGAAACTGGTAGATTTTAGTGTGGTTTCGAACGTGATGAGGAGCGCACGCTAATTTTGTCCGGGATCATTTAAAAAACAAAAACAAACGTTAGGTTACTTGTCAATCACCATTGTGACATAACCTCAAAAATATTAATAAGTTAAATAAGAAGATTATTTGAATTAAAATTATTCACCTTTAATAATAAACAAGAAAATTAACTGGTTCCTGATCCAATTAATCCAGTATACCATTCCGAAGAATTATTCCAATTTAATCAAGAATCATTGTTACCGATTCCTTTTGAAGAGTCAAAATTTCCTCATCCGAGAACTTCAGTATCCTACAAGATAAGCTAAGTTATAATTTTCAATTTCATTTTTATTCGTTTTTTATTTTAATTTTTATTTCAAACTTCACTTACCTTAAAAACGATTAATTTGAGTTATTTTGTTTGGTTATGTTATCACGGACTCTAAGTCATTTGAAAATTTGACAACGTTGTAGAACGGTGTTTTTTATTTTTATTGATTAATTTTTTATTGTCCTTTTAAGACATTCAAATAATATAACGATTTTAGGGGATTTTAATATTGATTATGGTGAATATTTTGCGTTTGCAGGTTTCCGAGACCTGGGATGGTTCCCTTTTTTAAAACTTATCATGATTTCAAAAATTTAAATTATTATCAATTTAGAAGCGACCTAAGGAGTATACCTTGGCGTAACATTTATCATATCAGTGATATTAACGATGAGTTTTTTACTGGCTGCTTAAAAATTTTATTTTATAAACATATACCTCTGGTAACCAGAAGGATTTCGAAACAGCCGGCCCCGTGGTTGAATCCTCACATAAGATTCTTGATGGAACAGCGCGATCAGTCTTTCCAGACCTTCCTGAGACACACAGCATAGAAATTAAGCGCGAGTACTGCTCCTTGCGAAACCTAGTGACTATACAGAGTGTATCTGAATGACTGCAACAAACTTCAAGGGGTGATTCTTTAGTGAATTTTAAGGGTACTTAGATATATGAACCATGAGCGATTTCGGCTCCCCTAAGGAGCTACACCCCTCCAGAAATGACAGAAAATTTTGGATTAATTTTTTTTTCTCAAAAACCCTAAACGCTAGGAAAATGAAATATGGGGAATATGTTTAACTCATAATAGGGCACGTTTTGGTCCTATTTGTACTTTCAACCTATCCTTCTAAAGTATTTTGACGGGAAAATGAAGTGACAAGTAAACTCACGTTGCTATAGTAACTAAGTAGCATTTATCGTTTTTCTCGCCAACTATAATTAAAAATTTTAATCTTTAAAATTTTAGAATTGAAAAATAACGCTTATTTTCTGCAGATACATCATTGGAAAGCTAAAAATATGCTCTTTTCAGTAACATCATAATTAACTACAGTTTGTATTTAAAAAAATACAACTTTATGTTATATCTCAAAAATTATTAGCTATGTTTAAAATTTTTCAACGGCAGTATATTCTACCCAAAAAAGTGTCTTAAAAACGTATTAACCTCATTTCTCTAATTTGACAAATAAACAAAATATGAGCAATTTTTGAAATCGTTAAAATTTGACTTTTTGGCTATAACTTAAAAACAAAAAAGGTAGAGATTTGGTCTTTGTGGGATTGGATTAGTCTCGGAAAAAGAGACCGAAACATGGCACCTACTTTTTTAATAACACCCAAATTTGCCCACCCTGTACATATTCAAGTAATAAAGTCCTTAATTATTATTATCCTTGGTATAAATATAAAGTCACCAATTATTCATATAATGGACTTTTGGATGTAAGGGTCACCCCTTTACCTGTATTAATCCATTACACATCAAGGTTTTACTATACTAATATTTTTATATAAATAAATTTTATTTTACACAACATTTTAATTAACTTAAATAACAATACATCTTAAGTTATAGGGTAATTTCAACATTTTTTACAACATTGGTCCAATCAATTTTGGATGGAGTAAGATAAAAAGCGGGGGCAACTTCACATCCGCATGGACAAGCACATCCCATCACCCAGCTGAACGATCCAACTTTATTGTTACATTTCGGACAATGTAATTTTCCTTGCACGGATTGCGTAATTCCGTTCATCCAACTTAACGGCTCCAAAAAATACGTTTTTCGACAAATTTTTTCATCGCTAATCTTTTCTTTATGCGTAATTAAATTAGATTCGCCAGCTAAAACTCTCCTACATCGTTTACATCTATAAACGTTTGGTTCCGGTTGGATTTGAGTGACACCCGGATCTCTTTTTATTAAATCGTGGTAATCTTGGGGGAGAATTTTAGCTTTCTTTACTTTATCCGCGGCACAAGTTAATCGATAATTCTTATAACGTAAATGATTCGGATTTACTTTATACAACATCTCTTCAAATAATATTAATTGAGTTACAAATCCACGGTTGGGGCAAACTATACTTCTTCGTTTTTTAACTTTTTTTAAAGCTTCTGTATAATTCAAATTATATTTTTTCATAATGTAAGCTATTATTATGGTCGCGCTGCGAGAAACTCCAAAATAACAATGAACCAAAACATTTCCTTTTGAAATACCGTTATTGATAAACTCAATCGAATTGGTGAAATGCGATAAAAGATCTTCTTTTGGTTGATCAGATAATTGAATAAACTTACTTGTTATATTCCTAATATCTAATACGTTTCTTGGGAGCGGTACGGTGTCTATCGTTAAAATGTGAGTTATTTCGTACTTATTTAATGTTGGAATATCCGTTGCTGCGGAAAGACTACCCAAATAAAGATTTTTCTCGATTAAATCTATGCTAACTGGACCACCGTTGAAATATGTGTGCAAAACATCTCCTTTAGGTACACTTTTTTCCATGATGGATGGTTATTTACTGGTTATTGATCAGATTTGGAAGGTTTTTATACGTTTTGCTGAGATTGTTGTGTATTAATCATAATCGAGATATTAATCATCATATTTTTTTAGAAATTGTTTTACTTAAAAAGGAGTTTTGTTGATTAAAAGCGAGATAAAAATGTTTTTACACGTTTGACACTTAACAAGTTAGGTTATGTTTGTGGAGTTGAATAATTTGTTGATAGATGGCACTAATTAAGACGGATATTTCAATTTTGATGATATTAATTTTATTTAAATAAAAAGAAGTTACAACAGCGATCAAGTTTCACATGACAATATCCGTAACAAAGTCTAAAGCACTATCCATAGCGAAAGAGCTGAGAAGATGCAACCTGGCGATATATACAGGTGTCCGAAAATTGCGTCTATATACAGACTGATTTATAACAAATTATAACTAGAGCTCGGATTTTTATGCAGTCAAATTATAGGAGATATGCAAGCTTTTTATTCGAAATATGCAAAAAAATATGCAAAAATATACCTTTCTTATAGGTGTTATCAATCGATTTCTATCACATTTTTGTATATGTTTTGCAATTTTCACATGATGTTCTATTTGGGACTTCCTCTCACACGTTATGTTAAAAAAGAATAATTAAAAAAGTTAGCCATAGATATTCTAACAGATTAAAAATCTAAATCTGAGACTATTATCTGAGACTTTCTTGGGAAGAAAGTGGGACATCAAATTTAATATAGTTTTAATTTAACAGTTTTCCATTTTTTTTTAACTCCTAGTGTAAAAGTCTATGAGAAATACAATTCCGTTGTCATCAAACCATTGGCAACTCCGCTGAAAACTCTAATTTTTAACTTAAATCTTTGGCTAAAACGTTACGACGTAATTTTTAAAAAAATACTTACAACTTTGACACAAGTTTTACAAAATAATTCCTCATTATTTAAATTTAGTTTAGGCAATGTTGTTACAGATTGGTAGATTACTCACACTGAACACAGCCACAGTAACTATGGTTGGGGATTTCCTTAAACTTAAACTCAACAGTAAGTTTTATTAAAAACTTAATAGGTTCTAAATAATAAAATAATAATAAATAAACCTTTTTTAGGTTCTCTCTCTTTCCCGCTGGACTAACCGAAGAAAAGTGTTTTCTGAAGGCATCTGTCGATTGGGAAATCGTTTCAAATACAGATCTCTTGCATGTGCAGCGTTTTCTCCAGCAACTCCATAAAAAATAAGCACATCTACATATTCCTCGTTACTGTAAAGTGCCATTGTACTTTTTGATTTGTAATAGTTCTAATTTTGACGTTAAATGACATGTATATTAACTGTTAAATGACATGTCCGCTGCTAAGTAATCAAGTCAACTGGATTGGCAGCAATAAAAACAAGGTATCAGCGGTTCTCAACAAAAAAACACCAGTTTTTGGGCGTTTTAACAAATTTTTAAATAGCCAAACAGAAAAAACTGTACAACGGACTTATACAAGACTCATTTCTTGCGCCCGTCTTAACCTATACACATCGGATCTATCAACCACAAGAGCAAAAATATTTAACTATGCTGATGAGCACTCACCGCATATCATAAAAGACCACTGAAGACATTTTCTGTAATAACCTGAGAGCTAAGTGGGGACTAACACAACCTAAAAAAGAAAATGGTATCCAATAGACTCCAGGTCAGTTTCCAGGTCATACTTAGTCGTCACCTTGGGCATATACAAGACCTGCCTAAGAACTGTTATGAATTACTTACGCTGTGCTAACAAGAGCTGAAAATTTAACTAAAATTAGAACTAAAACTAGAACTAACACTAGAAACTTTCGGGTGGTGCGTGTTTTAAGAAAAAGTTTGACGTTTCGGAAGCCATGTTGCAACTGATGACCTGGTGATCACAATTCGAGGTATATATAATATAATCATAACCCAACTAATGCAGAAAACCCTACTACTTACTAGCACATGGTGCAGAAGCAGTGGACTCAGCATTAATTCAAACAAAGTCGGAGAAGCAAGCTGCAATTACGCGCACCCTCCATTGAAGGCAGAACTATTAACCCCAAAACCGAAGTTTTAAACTGGAACTCCCACTTAAGTTAGTCAAGGTGAGGAAAAGGGCCATCATGGCTAACCAGATCTGACCAGGCTCCTTGGAACGAACTGTGGTCTTAAATCACGAATGGCTCACTGGGCCTACGTAGCAATAATCAGACCCATGGTCGACTGGTGGCCAAAAACTAAACACAAGACGGCATAACAACAGCTGGCTCAAATCCAGCGGTTAGCATGTCTTAATATAACCGGTGCAATGAGATTTTGTCCAACGGGTGCTCTTGAAGCCCTACTTTGTCTCACACCACTTTATTTATACATACAAAAGGAGGCAGCTTTAAGAGTCTTATCTTTGAAATTATGCTCTTCATTTAGGTTGATGCAGGGTAACCTCAGAGGACACCTCGAAATCCTCATAGACCCATGGCTAAACCACTTGATTGAAATTAAAACGACAGAATATAATTTAGACCAGCCGTATAAGGTCATATTTAGATACAGGGATGATTGGGCGAAGGGTGAGCCTCAACTTAAAAGAGGAGTCCTTGCTTCTGGAGAAGATATCGGCATTAGTATACCAAATAAGCGCATTAAATTGCCCATTAGCTTGGACATAACCATTTTTCAAGCAGTAGTTTTTGCTATAAACTTTTGCACGTACCAAACTTGTACTAAAGTTCGCCTCACACCTGACGACATAAAGGAACAAGAATTTAGAGCAATAGTATGGTCCCTAAACTTTTGGAGGGCTTAAGTTACAATAAATCTTACAGGTTGTGATGACGAGAGGGGTTGCTCCCCTCAGCCCGGCTAATTAATGATAATAATAATAATCCCAGTCACGTCTCTAGATTATAGAGTACAAGGCAAAGGCCTTAAAAAGAGGAAGAAGAAGAAAAATAAGTTTTTGGTTATGGAAAATTATTTGTTGCATCTCTTTTTATATTTATTTATTTTTTTTACGTTCTTCTGTTACATCCTCATTAACTTGAAACCGGGTGGTTTTGTGTTCCAATCATCATCATCATCGTCATCATCGTGTAGGAAATGTGCCGGACAATTATTATTGTCGGTGCCACGCACGAAAAACGAACGGAATGCCGGTGCCTAGAGAACACTTGCGCCCGTAGAACGCCGACGAATCCACCAATTTACTTCAATTAAGAGGACCCCATTACCATCAATTGATCTTAACTCGCTCAATTGGTAAATGTGTGGGGGTCATATGAGGCATAACATCTCGTCGAGTTTTACATTCACAAATAATACTTCTATCTATTTTTGAATTATAAAAATAACAAAAAAAGTAAAAGAAACGATTTGCCTTTTAAATTTTTTTTATCTTATTAGTTCATTTTAATATCTTATTTGGAGATGGAATGAAAAGAACCTGCATCAATTTACGAGACCAGCATATGTCAAAAAATGAAAAGGTATCGTCATCTTTCCCTCCCTCTCTGTATCAACCCCAAAAGACCCTTTTTATTGTACCGCTTAGTGGGTAGATATTCGTAAAAGTTATAAGGGTTGTACACGTGACCCGGACCTATATCTTTCTGTTTCTCTTGAAAACGCGCGTGTGAGTCTATAAACGCGGGTTCCAAAATTCCGAGATGCGGGATTCCCACACGTGACGATTTTAATGAGGTCTTGGGAACCAAAATCAAAACCAACAACTCTACAAGATCAAAAATGTTTCATTAAAATATCTTTTTTACACAAATGTTGTAATTAATTTGCTTTTATTGATAATCTAGTCCAAATTCTAGTTAGTAGAATCAAAAAATGGTTGATTTAAGATCTTAGGTAACTTAAGATTGTTATAATTCCTTGAAATGATTCGAATACTTTTTCACACACAAGATGACGCACGCACAGATTGAAGAGTTCAAAAGTCACACTTTTTCAACTATTAATAAAAACATTCCAGTCGGGGCTCGTAAAACTTGAATCTTCTCGCTTCTGATCCGACGGCAAACTTGTCTTCTATTTCTAACACTTTTAACAATCACTCAAATAATTAAAACTACTTAAAAAGCACATACTTAAAAATAAACTTTGATTATTAGAAAAAACCGATCACACTCAATAATACTATGAGGTACAAATTTGTTTAAAAATTGTAACAAAAAAAAAACTTGAAAAATGATGTTGTGAAACTGAACCAACCCCAACGACGTGCGTCTTCGTATTCGACTGGTCGGGAATTGTGGTGTGTAAAATGTTTTAATAGCAACAATTGGACAATATTGAGCTGGATTGCATTAAAGAATCTGTGGCTGTTAAACTAATATACTAATAGCTGCACTAATAGCTATTGTCGCTAATAGGCAAAAATTGGGTAAATTGATAAATTCTGTAACGAGCCGCGTTCGTTGGTTGGTCCGACGGTTTATTATAGCCCGCGAGAGATGGACCCCATTTATGGAGAACTGGGGGTTTTATCGTGGGGTGTTTCCTAAAGGAAAACGGCAATTCAAACCATTTAAACGACCACAAATGAAAAATAATTAAGACAAAACTTTATTGATTAATAGTGCTTCAAAAAAGTTTTAAGTAAATAAATTTGTTTCCGAATTTATGGACGAAATCTATTTGTGATTTTGATTCATTTTGTTATATTCTAGTTTAACAGATATGCTATGGACTAGTTATAAATCCAATATGTAGTTGTATGTCCCAAGTTGGTTTTGTAAGGCTATATCAGCATCATGTTAAACGTTATATCAAGCCATTAACGTCTCAAATGACATTAAATATTAATCAACTTGATAAACGTTTATAAAAAAGTGATGTTAAGATTAACGACGATTTGAAAGTATTTTTGGCCAATAGGTACTATTGAACCACTTAGAAAAAAGTAGTGTTTTCAATTTTGGGTGTGTGATTCTTTTTTGATTTACTGTGTGCTCATATTATGAAAGGATATTTTCATTCTACTGATGTTGAAGACTTCTAATCATTATGTCTTGTCTTTAGCACCAAAGGAAAGCTGGAAGAAACAAAAGGATAATATACATAACTGGAATGATGGGTTTCCTAAAAGTCAGAAAGACTTTTTGAGCCAATATTAATATTTAAATTTAGCACTAAACAAAACTAAATTGGCAACTATTGCAATGATATTAGTATTAATCGCAATCTCATTATTCAACAGATTTCGAGAGTCCACAAATTTGTTGGGTTGGGTTCCATCAAATTCAGTTCCTATTAATGAAGTCAACCGGTGAAGAATGAAACGCCGAATTTGCACAGTCTACAATATGAAAGTGATTTGGATAAAAATCCACAGGAAGGAAAATCCTAAAACTATGCTTTAGCAGTTGAAGTAAACATTACAACAAGAGTTCCAGCGGTTAGACAAATACGCGTTATTTTTATTATTACTTATAGCCGAGGTAAAAGTGGGTCTTATGAATATTATGGAAGGGTAATTTAAAAGAGAAAAAGATATTGAGAGTATTAAACAATGTTTAAGAAAAGCTCGAGATAACTAGCAATGTTTGATAGTTCAAATGGTTCGAACATACATGGTTTGCTCTGAGAGTAAGTACAAATACTGATTTGATAGTGACAATCACAAAGATTTTGGCGGGAAGATGAACAAAATGTATCCCAGATTAAATACAAGATTTGTCATTTTAAACTTAATTTGTGAAAATTTAAACTTGACAAGATAGGGGAAAGCAATTGAATGTGCAACATCGCTTAGGAGGTTGTTTTTTTTTGTAAAAAGTAAGCTAAGAAGAAAACCCGTCGTTTTCTATGTCTGGAAAATACACCTTCTCCTGGCCATGGACTGTCCACTTCTAAACTACCTTTCTTCATAAATTTAAACCCCTTCGAAAGTCTTCTTCATGGTCAGAATCAGATTCTTCCTTAAGTTTAGATCTAGAAGAAGATTTAGAACATAAACTAACTGACAATGACAATGTGCAACCCAAGAAAGGGAACATAATGCCGACAGTGAAAACTAGAAGTACCACTAATAGAATGCAGCATTCAGTTATTATGACACACCAGTCAGAGAAGAACTTGAAGAAAAGGAGGAAAATGAAGCTTGTGTAGAGAGTTAAGCGGTGTCTAGGTCAAGAAAAGAAGATTTCCAATGAAACGTGTCGTATATGTTATGATTTTAGAAAAACCAATTATGATGGAGCTGAAGTGCTATAGCGTTAAAAATGTCAAGTTAAACTTAAATTAAAGAACACTTTTAAATCAAACGTTAAAATGCACATTGTCAAATTGTTGTAATGTTGGTAACAGCTGGTAAGATAAATAGGAAATTTTGTTATATTATGTTTTGAAATCAATTTGTGTCAAGTTGACGTTTAGAAAAAGTTAATTTTTGGTTTTAGAAAGAGAAAACATCGCAATTTATTCGGAGTTACTGAAAATGTTACTAGAAATAAGAAAAACAACATAAATTTTATAATGACCTTAGAAAATACCAACGGAAACCCTAAAAATTTGACCTTGAAGAAAAATATATTGTAAAATAATATAAAAATTTAAGTAAGTATGACAATTAGCATTGAAGGTATACAATAAATCATCTAAAATAACATTTTTTAATGTTATGAGTACTTTCAAAATATGAACGAACTTCACATTGAAAAGTCAAAAAAATAACAATTTAATCATTATGACACTAATTTGTCAAAAATGACAGATTCAAAATTTGACATTTACTTTGATAATACATTAAAACATCAAAGAGTATCAGCTTAGAAACTTAAATAAGCAATTATTGTTTGAAAATAAACGTTGATTAATAATTAAAAGGAAAAATTGTGATAATAAACTGTCAAAAATGACATTTATAGTGTACTCACCTTTATTGACATTTATGACCGGTTTAGAATATCAAATTTTAATCTATATAAACTAAAAACAGCTAATTCGGTTCAATATTTCAGGATCATTACGTATATTAAGAAGTTGCTGTGACCCTAAACAATCCTTATACAGGGTGATTATCCATCTATACGCATAAACAATATAAATAAAATATATTCTTCATGACAAATAATGACTAATAGATGAAAAAAATTGTAGTAAAAGTTTTTTAGTTTCCTAAATATCCGATATAATCGGCGACATCTAGATAATCCTCTTGATTTTTACTTTTCGGGTTACTTAAAAAGCATAGTGTACGCCACGGAAGTTAATACTGAGCAAATATTACAAAATCGGATACATGCTGCTGCCAAGACAATCCGCCAACACCCTGGCACAATTATTCTTTATTTGAAAGTAAATATCACGGATATCTATGATCTACGGAACCATTCGTCATGAAGAGTAAATCCTTAAGTTTATGGGTATAGGTTGAGAATCACCCTGTATGTACTTAACACTTAAAAGTCAAAAACCACCTTGAATAATAAACATGAAGACTTACAGTAGAAAGAGTTTGATTTAACTCACTAATTGACACTAATTTATCAAAAATGACAATTTTAACATTAATTTTGACATTTACCTTAACAAAAAGCTTTTAACCTTCCTTACGTCAAAATCTACAGTTCAAACAAGTTTTAAAATTAATATTAAAGATTCGCAACCCTTATTATTAAGAAAATAAAAAATCGATTTCGTCGTTAGAGTCATTTTGACACTTATCTCACCGAATGAACATAAATACAACTCGTGCAGAGTAACCCTGTAATTCAACCTACTCTTTCCACACCAGTTTAATACGTGGGTTTGGTGCATTCGAGTTTAGTTAATCTCACATTATTGCAATAAAGTTAATAAAAATCTTAAATTTATCTTTTTTTTTTAGGCATTATGGAATTTATTATATCATGGACCTAAGAGAAAAAGATTTTAAAATTTATGGGCAACAATAACTTTATCTGCAAACATGGAAAGTTTTTGGGTAATGTGTAATATGTTGTAATGTTTAATAAAAATAAGAAAATATCTTATTCGTAATCCAGGAGAGTAATTGTTATATTAGTTAATGGTAGACAAGATTCTTAAATGATTGAGAAAAAGAAATGAATAAAAAATTTTTTTGGAAATAAAAATCCAAAATTCGTGCAGAGCCCACATGATCTATAAAAGAAACACGTGACCAAAAGGGTATAGAGTCGACTCCAACAAAAGCACCTCCCAAAACGTTCAAACAGTGGCCAATCAAACAACATAAACCCTTAACCATGAGAACTACGATTGGTTGGCTTCGAACCTACCATTTGAGCTCGTTAACTATAAATTGGTACAAATAATAATAACGAAAGTCAGTTTAGTCGACGCGGTGACGACGACGCCGATTTTCAACAACGTGATTTCTATCAATTAAATTTAAAAAAAGAATTTTGATTTTTTTTTGAGAAATGGATGGTCCCTTTGAAGACGGTTTTATTGATTATTCAAACCAACCTTTACCATCATTAAATAGTACGTTACTTCAAAATAAAGTGGGAAATCAAGAAAATTTGCACTCGATTCAAGTTATGTTGGGATTGCAACAACACAACGATATGTTTTCGGGAATGGGGAGTCCGTTGGAATACAAAGGTTCCCCACAAAATAAATTGGACGGCTCTCCGACGATGTCGCACCAACACCACCAGGAGTTGATGTACCACCAACCGCAAATGGAAACCGTTCAAAACGGAAATGGAAAAAGGAAAAACGAAGACGTCGTTTTGTTGCAAAGTCAAAATTTATCATCCAGCGAAATTGGAACTAGTGCCGGAAATGTTGGAACAACGACAACTTCCCAAAAGAAAAACGATAAGAAGAAAGGTGATAATAATGGGGTTAAGAAAAAGAAAACTAGGTAAATAATAAATTTAATAATATAATATACTCAATTGATAAGTTAAGACAACGCGGTGAAATTTAAAAAAGAGATATAATAGATAAGATGAAACATAGATAAAAAGTCTAAATAACAATGCCCCTATATAAAACTAATTGACCGTATGTTGTTTCGATTACACCTTAAAAATGATCCGGGTTAAGTTATAGGGGATGTAAATTTCACACCCTTAATAGTTAGGGCATAAAATTCATTCACCACGCTTTGCGTGCCTTTACAAATATGACCAACTGACGTCGCGTGCCAAAAAATAACACCACATGACGATTTTAAATGATAAAATCAAATGTATAAAATAGTTATATACAATTTTTTTTCTTCGACCCAACTCAAAATAGTTTGACATATTATCATTGACAGGGAACCAATTTTGTTTTTCCATAGCAGTCTTTGTTAGAAATAAAATTGTTTGATATGGACTTTTACCAAAGTAGGTCGATCATTCCGAAAATAGTTTTTCATTCTGAACAAAACTTCTTAGTAACACTTTCATGTACTGTAATCAGAATAGGTACTTTACCTGCCACAAAAAGAGTATTTGTTTCA